GAAGGCCAGGGTGTAAAATGCATTCTTTTTTTTATCACATTAAAGCAAGAAAAAAAGAATTTACATAAAACTCAGACAAGGTCAGGGAGAAACAAGGTTCTTAATTTAGTCTAATCAACTGTCATTTGCATCGCGCCATTTGCGCAAGGTATTGCCACTAACTGAATAAATGGACTTCTTCAGACTCAAGGGGGGGCACTCCGGTTTTGATAAGCTGGCAACATAACTGATTTGCATATATTACTTTGATTATCTCATTACTAGGATGATTCTTGCGGAATTTTTGACACTCGCGCAATCGAATTAAAATTAAGGCACGCAATCAATAAAAGGGCAACGCGGCTGTGAAAACACACGGCACCCCAGGTTTGTATGGTCAACTAGCGAAGATGATGATGCCGGTTATGATGATGATGATGATGATGATGACCTCTTCAGCTCACGAGCTCCTGGACTCCGTAGTAGGTTTACGAGAGTCTCGGGCTCTTGATTCCTGTGATCAAAGCAGTAATCAGTGGAGACAATGGAGGCCGCGAAATTGCCACTCTCGTGTGGGTGACCTATCCACCTGCCATGAATCCAAGAGTGGCCCGCAGGCGGCTCATGTTCTCTCAATCGATAATAGCGCTCACGTCTTTCCTCCAACTCAATCCATCTGTGGAATGATGAAATCAAGCGTAAAGACGCGCACGCCTCGGACAATTTTGCAACGCAGTCGCCACAATAACCTGGTACATTGTCGGGAACAGGTACAGGCCATCATTTCGGATGATCTCCAAGGTGATTTCGGTTACCCAAACCTGGTCTGATGAGTGATCTGAATGTATCTTTAGGTTTGGTTCTAGTTTGTGTGTGGCTTTCAAACCCTATATTTCTTTCAAAATCTGCTGCATTTTTCTTTGTTCTGACAGCAAATCCGCAATGCTACATTATGACAAGTGGCTCATTTGTTGCCACACACAATTTGTTAGAGGGGAGAAGATTTGGAAACTCCTTCCCCCTCTCCTAATAGACTCTCACTTGTCTGCACACTAATCGCGAGCAAAGGCACACGTCCGCGTTTTAAATTCATGATGTAAATAATTATAGGCCTGGAAATTGATTTCCTTACGACCTTCTCTAGCAAAGGAGGCATGCGAAATCCCCCCAAAGAAAGCTACTTCTGTTGAAGCATTAAGTCATTAATTATTTTCCTTACATAAGGACAAATTATCGAGTCAGTTGAACGAAATTAGAACCCTTTGTTTCTGATCAGACCGCATTACCGCTGGAAATTACGGATGATGGCTGTGTGCGCGCTCGCCTTTGTTGTTTCGATCATCGCCTGTCGCTCTGAACTCGTGCTAACAAAGTCATTAAATTGACTCCCTCTCGCTCTCATTATGCGAGCTGTTAATAACCGCTAATTAACTTTGCTTACGCGCGCCTTAAAAGCCTCCCAACCCTCCCAACACACACTCTCTCTTTCCTCTCCCCCCCCCCTCTCTCTCCCTCCTTTCCGTCTTTTCCTGCTCGGCCTCTCAAGCAGAGCAAGTGTCCAATTATGTCAGAGCGCAGGGGATGGATGGGAGGATGGAGGATGAGTCGTCGTCACCAAGGCCACGAGCCAGTTAGTGCATGTTAGGGAACAGTATTTACACGTGTTGCATAGGGATAACACTTGTGGGATAACAAGTTATGATAGCAAAATAGGCCTGTCCTGGCATGTGCAAATATGATACCTGTCTTCTACAGGTAGATGGGGTCAACTTTGAATAAATGACTTCATTCCCAACGATCATGCACACAAATTTTAATTTATTTTTTAAGTGTGTGAGTATGTCTTTACATTGTATTAACTGGATCTTACCCGTCAGAGCAGTTCGCTATTCCGTTCAGTAGATGGCGCCAGTTGAATGACCTGTAAGGGCAAAGCAGGTGCTGGTCCGAAATGATGGACAGTATCACTGCCATGGCATGGCATTCACTGGAGAGCACGAGACATGGGCTGCAAGGGAGACGAGGCAGCATCTAAGAGAAAGGTGTTAACATTCAGCAGCTATATGTGTTCTTAGCATGCTTTAAATACACAGATCCTCCTTCTGACTTGCATATGTTTAAAATGAATGGCAAAGGTGCGTCAGAAAGACCTGTGGGCTTTTAGTGTCTAACACACAATGGCACCGCGTCAGCATGTGAGCTTTAAACGAACATAAGCATGCAACCTGGTGTTTCCCCTGGGATATCATCAAGTCGGGGTGCAATGTAAAATACAGGGGAAGTGGTGCTGAAACGGAAGGCGGCCTCTCTCCACCATCTCTTCACCTGCACGTCAAATAGACGGAAAATTTAAAATGTAGAAATTGCGCTCTGACTATTCCGTCCCTCTCTAATGTACGCGCGTAATTAGTGCATTTAAACAAAGCGCGGATGTCCTGCTGGCTGAAATGGCGGCTGACATCTCTTTTTCCACAGGGTTAATAACAGTGTGCGGATAAATGAATCAAATTGTGGCCCCCAAATTACAGAGCGACTGTAAATACCCGTCTGTATTACGCACGTCTGTTTGTGACCGCGCAGGAAAAGGCATACCATTTTATATTGTTATTACACTCATTACATTGATTTGCGTGCAAATAAACAAGCTCGGAAGTTTGTGACACCACAAAAAAGTTGCGGATGGGTTGAATCTGACACCATCCGTGTGGTGACAGTGTGCATCTGCTTATAATAGCCTACTATTAGAGTGCAGCATGTTTTATTAATGCGGAAGACAACAACATGCTGCACTGACTTTGTACTGTCTGACAACGTGAACATAATTCATCACACAGGAGATGTGCTACATTGGTTCATAGAAAAAGCATGTTTTTTCTACTTAAGTGCTATTTCTGCAGATACATTTCATACTGTCCGTGTTGGTTATATTTTTGTGAGCCTGTTAAATAAAATAAAAAGTTGAAAACTGAGATAGTTGAGTATTCCTCCACTAAATCTATAAAGCGCGGCCTGCGCCTTAACTAAACAGATCAATGGCGCTCTCATTCCAGTTTCAATCACAAAAAGGTCATAAATCTATCGCTTAAAAATAGATAAAAGAAAAAAAGAGTAACTTGTGCAATTGTCTGGACATATATTTTATTGTTATTTTTCGTTTGCTGCGATGCTTTAGCCCGGGCAGATACATAACGGAGGGGAGGGAGAGAGAGAGGGACAGGGAGGGAGAGAGAGAGTAAATTGCAGCTTGCTGAAGTTTTTGGATTGAATTCTGAAAATGATCCTTTTAACAGTGATGGGCTCTGAGGCGAGGATAAGGGTCATGCCATTCACAGCGGGTTAAATAGACTTTCATTTAAAATTACATTCTCGATCCATCTCTCCATCTCTCCCCCTCTCCACAGCGGAGTCCCTGCGTGCCATCCCGGCTCCCCGTGCGGCGTCTCATCACCGTCGCGCCACCCTCACTTTTGAAGTCAATTCACAACTCCAGCAGAGAGCAGCCAATTGGAAGGGGAGGGAGGGAGAGGGGGAGAGCAAGAAAAAAAATGGATGGATTGATGGATGGATGGGTAAATGGATTGATATAGACAGATATTAATCATATTAATGCTTCTTTTTCTGCTGTCAAAACACACTATTTTTCAAACGCTGCAACCTGGAACAGTTTTGGCAAAAAAAAAAAATCTGATCCCAATGTTGATATTTCTATTTCTGTGACTCAATCTCTGACATGGCTGTGGCAGGTGCTGTCTGAGGTTGAACGCAAACTCTGTGCCAGATTTCTTTTCCATCTTGGCACAGGGATTCAAGAGACAGTGGCCTGAAAAAAAGAAAAATATGTAGCTAGGCCCTATAAATGTACTAGTGAGTAATTGAGACTATCCAAAAATCATCACAAAATAACAAAGGCCTATTCCCTGTTTAATTAGCACGCATAATTACATTGTATTTAATCTTTATTATTATTATTATTATTGTGTGATAATTTTAAAGCAGCCTAATATGAACAACATAAAATAATAGTGTGTCCATATAGGCTATAGGCCTAGGCTATATAAATATTGGGCTCCTTAAGGGTGGTCATTTTTAAAAGGGGTTACTAGCCCTACATCAATTAAGAAGTGCTAATTGAAAGCAATTCTTAATTGATATATATCTGTTAATATTGTCCTGTATTCATGTATGATAATAATAACGTAACAGTGCAATAAACTGGTCTGTAGACTACATGTGTGCAGGACCACTAGGTAAAGAATAGCAGGCATTATGACTTCTCATAGCAGGAAAAGCACAGGTGTTACTGATAACGTTAAGATGGCTCTGTTGTATTTAAATGTAGCCTACAAGGACCCTGAAACGGAAGCAGCTAAATGGAATTCATTTTTATTATTTACACATGTGCTTTTCCGACAGTGACATATCAAAACGCTTACCATGAAAAATAAGCGTGTTGTGATCTTGTGTAATAAAGGCCTGCTCTTTCCTGACCAGTCCCTGTGCTGATTATTGCGTGTGTACCTTTTGTCTACATTATTATTGCACTTCACTGATGTTATGTACTCAGTTGCACACGTCTACCACATATTTACATGATCAAATAATTCCGTTTAAGAAAAAACAAAAACAAATCAACGTTTTTAACGTTACACGGTCCAGAAAACAAACAAACAAACAAACCGCAGGAGCTTTGCTTCAGCAGCTTTCTCTGCTGAGTTCGTTCCACGGAGGAAAAGGCACTCCGTGTCGGGTTTTGTTGCCTTTCCCCTCAAATTAACTTTAATCGTATATATATAAAGCAGCTCCGCGCTGTCTCTCTCACCACATACACACATACGAGCCAATCAGGCGCCCAGGAACATCCTACACGTGTAGCCTATGCTGAGCGAGCGCGCGGAGCGGAGAAGCGCCTGGCACACCGGAGCGCAGCGCCAGGCAGTTAAACCGCTGTCTGTCATTAGCTGAGAGGGTGACACAGGAGCGAAAGAGCAGAGAGAGGGAGAAATAGAGAGAGAGAGAGAGAGAGAGAGAGAGAGAGAGAGAGAGAGGAGGAGGAGGAGTCGGCCCCGGTTCAAACAGATACACCGGTCTGAGAGGAAAGAAGAAGGGAGCACCGGACACCGCGCGCGAGAGAGAGTGAGGGAGAGAGCGGGAGACTGACTGGCGTTACCGAAAGTAGACGAACCGAAACGTCGACATGAGCGGTCAGTTTGAGGAAGATATCCACGACCGGGCAGAGAGGAAGAGCAGTAAATCCCCGACGCTGCTCTCCTCTTACTGCATAGACAGCATTCTGGGCCGCCGGAGTCCCTGTAAGGTCAGACTGATAGGGGCGCAAAGTTTGACAGGTCTGCCCGGCAGAGGGGAGCTCGACAAGACGGCTGACAGTAAGTTTCCTTTAAGCTGAAATCAAAAAGAGAGTCTACATTGGTTATTTTGGGAGCAATGTAGGCTATACAGGTGTAACAACTGAGCTAGTTGTATGCTCAAAGTCTCAGTTAATGCGTCAAGAAGAGTTGCTTTTCATGCATCAACATGATTTAGGCCCCACGGTCAATCTTGTTTTCATAACGGCTGACTAATAAACGTTTCAGAGACAAGAATTTTTTACAGGCCTACAAAAAGTGTTAAACTTTACTTACAGGGAAAGGTTTGCTTAGCTTAGCCAGTTCAATGCCATTGTGTTAGGCTATTCGTTATTTTGACATTTTTCACACGCTTCCTTCTCAGGGCCAACGAAAGACCCCCTTTCTCTCAGCGCTGACATGCACCTGCCACCCAAGCTCCGCCGGCTGTACGGACCCGGGGGGAAATACATCCACGACCACGCGGAGACGCTGGACAGGGAGCGGCTCCTCCTGGAGCAAGCAAGCGACAGCCTGAAAATCAGCCAGGCGCCGCAGGTGAGCATCAGCCGCAGCAAATCCTACCGGGAGAACGCGTCACTGAGCCGGGGAGAGGGCGACCAGAGCCCCGGGGAGGGCTCGGAGGACGGCAGCCTGGGACTGGTAGAGCTCGGCCCGTTGAAGTTCGAGGAGGACGCGGGGAAGGAGGAGAGCTGCGGGGACGCGGCCGCTCTGTCCCCGAAGGACGAGGAGAGGGAGAGCTTGAACGCCGGGGATGGGGACGTGAGGGACGGGGAGGACAGCGTGTGTCTGTCGGCGGGCAGTGACTCGGAGGAAGGGATGCTGAAGCGGAAGCAGAGAAGATACAGGACTACCTTCACAAGTTACCAGCTGGAGGAGCTGGAGAGGGCTTTCCAGAAGACACACTACCCCGACGTCTTCACCAGGTAGAAAAATTCTAATCCATTTTTTTTTAACTTTTAAGTCTGGAAAACTTCGCTCTAAAATAAATAAAAAATGTGTCTAAAATAAATAATCATTATGATTAGCCCTATATTGTTATTATTTGGCTATAATAATTCTGCAGGACCGTTTTATAACGACAAATCGAAGGCCTAGGATTTTTTATTTACATGCATTTAAAACGTCTAGAATTACACTAGACTACAATAATTGTGTCTTATAATAATAATAGCAACAACAACAATAATAATAATAGATATAATTATTTAAATTGTTAGCATAGATCAAATAAAATCCAAGAAATGCATGAAACGTGCAACGCGTTCTAACACAATTCCGCGGATGAACCTGATAATTAATTGCTTTATTAATTTATTTCTAAATAAACACTCCCCGACCCCATAACATTTTCCAGTAACAGTCCCAGTAATGCCAAGCGTGTTTAACTGGACCAGTGTGCGGATCACACCCCATAAAACACCGAACCCGTGCCTTGCATAAGCGATCACAACAGGCCTGTTAGTGCTAACAATGGGGACGTTTTGTTACCTGGATCCTCTCCCTTTGATGACAGCGGTGTTATTGTCAGGAGGAATAATTAACCGCTGCAGATCATGTTACCTGCTGGACGTGATACTGAACACAGTGTGGCAAAAAAAAAAACACCTCAAGGCCTAACCTCAAGCCCAAGGGCCGTACACACACACGCACGCGCACACAGTGAGTGTTTTATATGCATTTTCTGAGGAGTTTGTGCTGCTAGAAATGTTTCAGAAAATAACATTATTGGGATTTTATGTAGCAGGTCCACAAAACAAAATAAAGTCACCTATACTAAATAAATTATTGCGACATCCGAAATTTGAAAATTGAAGCTTTTCTGACACCACAAGACACAATTACCTACATTTTCGACCCCCCCCCCCCCCCCCCCGTCCATTGGGATTATTCATATTTTCTAATCGATTACCTTTAAGGCGACTTGTAGGTCTAATTTACACTGCAAGCCCATCTTGCAGCTGAAGGGAGCGTCAATTGCTTTGTGGCAGGCTAGTTTAGGTGTCATTATTTCAACCATTATGTTGTTACAGTGACAGGTCTGTGCTAAGGAAAATCTAACAATCACTAGGCCTATTTCTACCCATCCGTGACAGGGAAAATAGAATATGGCTATAGCGTCTTTCTGCAGCCCATGCCAGGAGGAGAGAGAGAGGGGGAAAAATCAAGGCTATTTTTCGTCGTCTATTGTTGACAGTGAACAACAGGAGGGGACAAAACAGCAATTCTCCGTTGCTACCAAACGGCGGCCTGTAACCTTGAATCTTTTCTTTCTGTCTCTCTGCCTTTCCTCCTTCTCAATTTTTTTTTTTTTAAATATTCTTTTCAGAGAAGAGCTCGCAATGCGTCTGGATCTCACCGAGGCCCGTGTTCAAGTAAGTGGCTCTCTGTTTATCTTTATCTGAAAAGAGAAGCCTGTGGCTTGTAAATCAAATAGGGGGAAAAGCACCCTCTAATGTTTTATGTCCTCTATATAAATGTCCCTGGTGCGCAGTGCTGGATAATAACCGGTGATATGCGTCACTGATTGAGGATCAGCGATTATGGGCCAATTTGAGGCAGTAATTTATTACAGTAAAAATGTGTTAAATGGCCCCAGTCGCCGCGCAGGGAAGGTCTTTCCTGTTATTGAATGTTATTACACGCGAACGAGGGACGTTTTAGTGGCAATTAAGCCGACGCTGGCGATTCATAAAAAGCTCACTTAGTGCAGGAGCAAACACTGTCTATATTCCCGGGATGAGATGGTGTTTGGATTCCCATCAGAGGGGACAGAGAGGGGGCGAGGCCGACATGTGTGTGCGTGAGTCAAAAGATGTGAGAATAAGGGAGGGGGGTGCAGAGAAAGAGGGGAGGGATAATGCTATTTGATTTCCCATTATGTGATTGCAATAGACCTGCATTGATCCGATGCTTTGCACTTGGGAGCGAATGAGAGACCATTAAAGGTGTTTGCCCCCCTCCCCTCCCTCAACGCACTCTCTCCATCCCTCCCATCCCTCCCTCTCTCTCTCTCTCTCTTCTCCGCCTTCCACTGAAAGCGTGGCTTGCATGTCGAAAGCCCGGGCTCATAACCAGAGAGACAGTTCAAACACGGTGGAAGCTCCGGGAGGTTATGGCCGACGGTAAAACAACAGATGTCTCTTTAGGGGCCGTAGGTGAACAAATCACTTAACGGGCGCCATCAGGAGGTGATAAAAACTCATAAATTCCCGAGGGGCTGTGTAATGCTAAACAGCCCTCTGGGAATAATGTGTGTGTGTGTATGTGTGTGTGCCTGTCGCTCAAGCTCGCTGGTTCAATCCCTCTCCTCATGTTGACATTTTGCTCATTCTGGGCGCCCCGTGCTTCTGCAGTGCAAACTGGGCAACAGTGGCTGCGTGGGAAAGTTAAATACTCTCTTGGGTGGAAGTCACTTGTTCTACATCGCCTAAGAATTTAATTTAAAGCGCATTGATTGTTATCGGAGCCAGTTCAGAGGCAATTTTCTAGATCTTTTGTTAACACCGCTCTTAATTATCTCTCCCCACCCTGAAACCCTGTCGACGGGGACGAGGGGGTTTAATTAGACAGAAAGTAGATTTAAGCGACCGTGAGCGGCAGGGTTTACCTTGCATGTAATTACCGCTGACTTTCCGCCTATTGGCCACCACCGGAACTAGACAACCATTAGACTACACTGACACAACTTTCAATAGAGGCTAGTCACGTTAATTACAATGAAACAGTGCAGTGATATAAGTAGGACTGGGAGTTATAGTGTTAATTATTTATAGCAGGAGAGAGCATGTGTGACTTGTCTCCAACAGAGCATCCCCTCCTCTTGTCCTTTAGAGAAGAGCATATTGGCCTATTTATATGTTGATTCAGCTGTTTTTATTATTTTAAACACCTTTATAAGCCACATCTATTTTCCTAGAACCTTCCTTGAAAATTAAATAACTGCCATGTCTGCTCATATTCATTTCTCCCTCATTTTCTGTCTGCCCTCAGGTGTGGTTTCAGAACCGCAGGGCCAAGTGGAGGAAGCGTGAAAAGGCCGGGGTGCAGGCCCACCCGTCAGGCCTGCCGTTCCCAGGCCCCCTGGCAGCGGGCCACCCTCTCAGCCACTACCTGGAGGGAGGGCCCTTCCCACATCACCCCCACCCTGCCCTTGAGTCCGCCTGGACAGCGGCTGCAGCAGCAGCCGCTGCCTTCCCGGGCCTGGCCCCGCCACCCCACAATGGCTCCGCTCCACCCCTGGCCACCCCACTCGGCCTGGGCACTTTCCTGGGTACGGCTGCCATGTTTCGCCACCCTGCCTTCATTGGGCCTACTTTTGGCAGGTAGGCTGCACGCACATACCTCCCTTGGACCTGTTATTGGTTCTTTACACTTATTTTCACCAGAAACCACCAATGTCTGTACCTGCAGGACACCACATTCATCCCTGTATTTCACAGGAAATTACTATAATTTTGAATTCAAGCACATCACTGTAAGGCAAAATGCACAGCAGCACCAAGCTTAAAAATTCCCAACACATGCAACTCTAATGGCTGAGACAGTGATCCTCAGTCACACTGCATTACTGTTTATCTCAGTGTCTAATTACCAATATGTTATACTGTTAACCATTCACAGTGGTGTGTAATCACTCTGTCAAATGCCTTAATAAATTAACCAAATGTGTGATCCTGCAAGACAAGCTGTGAGGGTGGGTGACGACGCACACTCCATATGCCACAATTAGCTTCTCATTTGCTTTTGTCCTCTCTATTATACAGCATTTTAAACCTTGTGGTCTCTGTTAGCTTTTATATTAGAGCTGTAAGCATGTAATAGATTATATAAATCTATTTAGGAGGTTTAACACAACTGCAGCCAAACTGAAGAAACTAAGAGGAAATAAAATACATTGGAGAGATGTCGAAAATATTAATTAACAGGTAGACAGCATTTCTATCATATACATATATAGCAGTGCTGACAGCATATATGGTCGGCACTGCTCTCTGGTGTAGTGAGCAAAGAGCCAGTTGAAAAATACACTATTAATTTAAACTTGAATAACATGTGTGGCGTCCCTAAATGCTGCAGATTGTTAAATGTCTGTCTTCTTTCAGGCTGTTCTCCAGTATGGGTCCCCTGACCAGTGCTTCCACCGCTGCAGCGCTCCTACGTCAGCCTGCCCCTCCTGTAGAGAACCCTTCTCACACGGGCCCCGTCCTTCCCGACCCTTCCTCTTCTTCCTCCGGCCCCTCTTCCTCAGCAGACCGCAGAGCCTCCAGCATCGCAGCGCTGCGCCTCAAGGCCAAGGAACACTCGGCTCAGCTTACCCAGCTTAACATCCTGCCCAACGGAGCCACAGGGAAGGAGGTGTGCTGAACACTCAACACCAGCTCTAGGCCTCCCCGTCCCGGGCTTACGTCCCATTCCATGACACCCCCTCCCCGTTCCAAAAAACCCATTCATACCTCTGGAGCCTGATGTCCTGATGTCCCCTTGTTCAAACATCCCTGTTACCTCATGTTTCCCCAACAAAATAGCACGACCAAATTCAAAAGAGCACTGGCTAAAAAAAGATGTGTGTTTGTGTGTGTGTGTCTGGTAATTACAGATATTGTAGCATTTTTTTACACTCCATACACACACACACCTTTCTGAGAGACAGTCCAGTAACTTCAAGTTTTTCACTTTCATAAAAAAATACAATATTTAAACATAGTTGAAAAACAGGTTTCTGACTATAGATTAAAAATTTTGAGAGTAAATTACATCAATTATATAAATCAAGTACATTATCATAGTTTTTTTAAAGCGCTCATAAGGCAGTGTGCCACGTGCATACACAAAAAATACTAAGTACACCCAGTGCCAGTGGAGGAATGTAACAAAGTACATTTACTCAGGTACAAATTTGAGGTACTTGTACTCCAGTATTTCCATTTGATGCCACTTTATACTTCTACTAAACTAAATTTCAGACAGAAATATTGTACTTTTTACTCCACTACATTTATTTGTCAGTCACAAATTAGCTAATTGAAGTTTGTAAAAGAAAAAATTAAATTCACCTCAACCAACAATAACATGCCAATTGAAAGCATCAGTTATAAGAATTCAGTAATATAATAAATATATAATATTAATTTTGTAGTAGTACTCACAGGGGCATTCAGCACTTTTCCTTTTATACTTTCAGTAACAGTATAGCCCACTTTTATGCTATAAGGATCTGTCGTTTCAAACACACACACACACACACACACGCACAGAAAGCCGAAGAACCGCAGGGGAACCCCGACTTTTAGAAAGGATTCTTGTGCTACTTCAAATGTGGACAACTGGAGTGCTCAACATTAACACTGCTTAATCTGTATGCATTGATGTGGGCTGAGCCAGTCTGCGACTATAATAAAAGCGAGTTGGAGGAGCCACACCCCCCAAACCCCGAACCAAAGGAAAACTGTCCATAGACCTTCCATAGCCTTCTCTGCACGCCTGCCTCCTCTCATCTGCTCGCCTGCCCACCAGTCACACTCAGCAACACCACTGTATATATCTATTTTAAATCTCCGAATCAAACCGGAGTTATTTGAGGTTGTTTCCACCTGTGTCAGCGCCACATTTCTGTACATTTTGCTGCGACCCCCACACACACACACACACACACACACACACACACACACACTTCCGCTGAGTCTGACTCCAGGACATGCGAGCAAAGCTGAGATCCGAGATGTGTCTCTAATGACGTGACTGTGTGAAAGAAAACTGTACATATTGTGTAAAAATGGGGGGAGAAAAAAGTACCACAAAAAAGGATGATTTTCAAAACAAGGTCGTGTATATTTCAGGAGACCCTGTTTTGATTATTTGCACTCGGTGTAGTGTTTAATGAATGTCGCCCTGTGTATACTTTCACCTGTGTTTATGAGTTATTAGGTTTTTAGATAATTATTTATGTCAAAACTTTTCCCCCCGAGGAACTGAGTGAAGGAACGTTTTTTTTCTCAAGTGATTGTAAGTTTCCTGGTTTAATAATGCTAATTTGAATAAATTACACTGGTAAAATGAGTTAGGCTATCTTTTATTATTTCAAATTCCCTTAGGACTGACATAGGCCTAAACCAGGAAAAATAAACAATGTGAAATAGAATATTATAGAACTATTAATAAAAGGTGTTATAAAGAAAGTGTGTTTTCTGTCTTAAATTAATTAATAATTGTGCAAGAAAATTAAATTTATATAACTTGCTTTAATCCATCATTTAATATAATTGACTAGTATAATATCCTACTGGAATGTAAAATAGATGCATACCAACTTCAGTAACAGTTAGTGTGATGTTCAAATTGCCTGCTGAGGAGGATGAAAACAGTTTTCAAAGAGGAATTTGTCGCTGCAGAGAGCAGAGATGGGGGCACCTCAATGAGGGGAAATGTATTAGGTGTGTAATCCAGGGCGCTGCGTGCGTCTATCCTCTTCAGCGGAGTTGACAAAATACTGACCATATATTCATGAGCTTAATCCCCAACATGTGAAACGCGCGACAAAGACGAGGGGTTTTCAATTAGATCGCCCACTTTATGTGTGTGTGTGTGTGTGTGTGTGTGTGTGTGGGGGGGGGTGTCACAAAACTTCCTTTAAACCCCTTTAAAGGCGCTAAATTGGTCTTAACATCTGTAATGCCATGTCGATGGAAGCGAGTTCTCTTTGTCATTAATGAAGTAACAAACCACTTCATCAAACGGCTTTCTCACACACACACACACACTCACACACCTCGTAGAGTTAATTCCTCCAAATCCCCCTCCTCCCCTCCCCATTGGATCTCACCACTAACGCAGGACTATTACAGCAATCAATGGTTATTCTCCTCAGTTTGACCCATCTTTGGTGCCCGACCAAATCGCGTGAAATTACCTCGCGGATTAATGTAGGCCCTTCTTTTTACTGCCCGCGTCTGTGAAAACCCTCTTCTTATTCCCTCTTTGTCTTACAGGTCTACGGGTCCTACACCTGTTAATCACTCAATTTAGCCCAAACAAGCAGGAATAAGATCCGACGAGGGAGCGATGGAGAGACGGTCCTGTAGCTACATTCATTTATCCATAACGCGCAAGCTCACAGCCTCACACGAAGTCACCCAGCTGCTCATTGGAACACAATGCAAAATTATTATTTTCTTTAAATAAAATAAAAGCAGAGGGGTAGAGAAAAAAGAAGATTAGAAAAAAAACAATTTTCTCCAAACCACGATCCACGATGTGTGAGCTCTATGTTTTTTAAATTCCTTTTATTTCGCTTGAGCCCACTGGAGCGTGTGTTTTCCCCCCCTGTATGGCCCTATAGGGTTTTGATGAGATTGTCCGGGGAGTTTTAATCTTATTGTGAATATAACTAATGAATGGCAAACCAATTTGTCCCTAATATTTGGGGAATGCCGGGAGGCGGGGTGACCTGCTGGGAGCGAGGCTTAAACTTTCTTTGCAGCGCAAAAAGGCGAGAAATTTGAAATGCTGCCGCAGCGCAACAGCTCTGGATTTACAAAGTCACACTTGTTGGATGCTCTTCCATTCAAGACAGGCCTGCACTTGGGATTAGGCTACGATGCTTCTTGTTGCATGAATGATCATGATAATGAATGTTGATATAAAAAATGGGGGAGCGGGTACAGTCCAATCATTTCTAGCAAATTGGCTGCAAAAAGAAGGGAAAAATGGACGTGATTTGGTGGGTTGTGTCAGTGCACTGGGCCTTAATACCCCGCCCGCTTCTCACAGGTTGAATTCAGGTGTCCAGAAAATGTCCACCCACTGGCTTGTCATGACCATTTTCATCACCGCCATTCCCCCGCAGCTGCAGGACTTGATTTGGCCCATGATTTCGGATTCTCCCGGGCCTCGTTTCTCCCACCACGTCCCTGCCTGAGAGAATAGGCCCAATCACTCCACAGGCTCAGCCGGATCAGTCCTCACTCAGTTCCCGGGAGAGGAGCTCTAAAAGGCGCTTTGATGAACAGCCCCCCACCCCACCCCTTCTCCTCGCCCTCTCCTCCTCCCCACCCCAAGCGGAGAACCGGCCCCGATGAAAGACCTGAATAGCAGGGCCATGGCACTCCGCTCCCCTCTCGGTTGGCCCCTTAATTCCCCGTCTCTCTTGCTCTCATCCAATTAGCTCAGTGTATTAAGCGGTTTATCGTCTCATAACCGCCCTTTCAGCTCCAACAAGGGAGACACTTTGCAATAGGACCGGCTCTCCTTTTGACACCCTCTCTGGTGCTTGAATGTTCCGCCGCGCTATGAATAACGGGGACAGAATAGGGGACTAATTCCCTCATCAAAGCCTACCTTGTCCAGCGCTGGTCAAAACGACAAGCAATAAAGCTTAACGCGACAATACAAAGAGACTTGTTCGACCTTATTAGCTTAGCAGGGTCGAATTAATGCCGGAGACTCATTTTGACTGGGTTTACTCCAAACTGGGAGGACAAAACGGGGCCCTCACTTAAAAAACCTGCAGCCTGGTAGTGGGAATCGCAGGCCGGTGCACATCTACTGGGAGCTGGAGCTGATTAAATCCAGGAGAAGGCACTGCAACAGTGGGGGAAGAGGTAGTGGCGCTGATATGATTTAATAAATATGTTAAGTTATGAGCAATAGGCTTCAAATGCACCAAGACACTTTCTCTCACACACATTGCATAGTGAATCATGGTTTAAGTGTTCAACCCACTTAAGGTTGCCTTCACAAGTCACAGTGGTTTGAAGTGATTTGTGAGGCGTGCAGTGTTTATGGAAATGCACACGGCAGGATGGAGTTAAAAAAAAGGATAAATACCTGGACTGTATTAACACAAAGGAGAGTTCTTGGATGGAAAATGGTGAAACACTTCATGCAGTGAGTTACAGACTAACAGCAGAGGAAACACATACAGTATTTAGAAAGTGTGACTATGTGAAGTGACAATATAAATTATCAACCATTAGCACACATTGCATTTCAGATATCAATCCCTTTAATATCTGTGTGCATTCTGCTGCTTTATTGCAACCTGTCTTGTGTTGGCATCAATGTCAAGAAACACCATGACCTGACAGTCACTGCATTAGCCAAAAGCAAACACGATGTTTTTACTCCAACAGTTCGCAGTTGAGTTTCAGAAGAATGCACACTAAAATAGATTTCATCTATATCGCTCACCTGTTTTTAAAAATTACTTAAATCCCTCAGTACAAAAAAAGCTGTTTATTTACCTGAAATAGAGTAAAACCCGTTTATTTAGAGGATGAAGGATGTTTTTGTCCATCTCTCAATACTTTATCACTTCTCTGCCTGTCCCTGGCTAAAACAGCACAGCACTGTAGTTTTTAGAGGATTTGGCTCAAATGGGAGTCAAGTGTGTAATTTTTGGGGGGTTATTTACAGCTGCGGAATAATGCACATTTGGTGTATTGGTGAGTATTTACAGCAGGTGTATGTGGGATCAACTCAGGTTTATGGTAATGAAGAAACATGTCACCCTGTGCCACAACGTGGCTTATTCGAGTAGTTATAAAAATTTGGGGACAATAATGGAGTTCTGTGGCACAGATAATATATACTGTACCAGGCTTCGGCTACACAGGCAATGCTTGTTAGAAGGATTGATTGGTTTTGAGCTTTTATTATAGATTAAGGAAAATATTGAACATCAAGGCCTGTCCTTAAAACGTGGTGTCAAATAAAGTGAAGGGATGCTTGATTTACCTACCAAGATGTCCCCAACTGTATGAAATGGGGAGTTTGGTCATATTTTTTTATTTTGTTTTTTAATAAACTTCACTTTTGTGGCATGTTTGTTGTGCTACAGAGTGCAGGGGCAACAAGAAATATGCAGACGCTACAGGACATACATCCACACATTTCACCCCCACATGTTGCAAATAACACAAGATTAACATCTTATCCATTTAGCTTTTTATTGAGGTTTCAGTATCAAAAAAAGGTTCTCATCAATATTGAAGAACCCAAAACGAAATATTCTTGTCATTACAAAAGAAATCATTACATACCACCCCTCACCCCCCCAGCAGTACAAGTCGGATACATAGAAAATTACAGGCATTAAAACACAATCTGCTGAGAGGAGGGGGGACGAAGAAACAGAGTGAAAGGGATGAAATGACATCAGTTAAACTGAGGCTGTGGAGGAGAAGGAGATCAGCTGTTCAATACCGAGACAAAAGAGCGAGGGAGCAGAACGTGTGGCCTCCGTCACACTCCTTTCTTTCATCCTGTGATCTGACACTCACACGTACACACCCAGGATGAATGGTGGTAATCAGAACAAGTGTCCGATCGCTGCAGGCATCCAGTGGTCTTAGTGGCCGGGGTCACTATCATTGGCTAATTAGCGGCTTTTGGAGTATACTGGCTGTTCTGAGGATTTTGTAACACACATACACGCGCGCACACACACATGTGTATGATTGCTACTCCCCTTTTTCATATAGATGCAGGGTGATGGGATGGAAAGGAATGGAAAGGTGTGATTGGGTTTTCAGTACTACAAGAGGCCCACTAGGTTCATTAAAGATGATAAGGGGGTTATGAGGTCAAAGCCTAAGTCTAAGCTATTTGGGAAACCAATAACCGAGAAAACAGATGTCGTTGAATGTGCAAATCTCCGGCTTTGAGGTCAGATGTCAGAGTCTCTTAGCGGTGTCGTCTGTACAGATGTGTGTGCGCCGTTTCACTTGAGGGAAGTGAAGGCCTGGAAGAGTTTGGCCAGGTTGATCTCCGAGTAGCCACTGGTGGCCAAGGCTTTGTCTGGCACTTCCTTCAGCCTGCGATACACATCTGGAACTCCTTTCCACAGCTTTGTCCGAGCTGGAGGCGAAGGAAAAGGAAAAGCAGAGAAGGGATATCATTGCCAGAGCTCAATGGAAGATCATTTAGTTCCTCAACTGCATCAAAGTCAATACTACAAGGCTGCTGTGACGTGTGCTTTTCAAAGTAGTGAATGATTCACCAATGATGACTCTGACCCTCCACCCCGTTCCTATGATTAGGTTCTACTGGAAGAGCAAATCCTACCGGAAGAGCAGCAGAGAGTGCTCACCGGCTGTGCTCATCACTAATAAACACTGAGGAGCATTTCACCCTTAACTGGAGAGCCAACAGATCCAATGCCATCTGCCAGTAATGCTATCACTTTGAGGGCCAGAAGGGGCATCGCAGAATTGGACTGAGGGGTCGATGGCAGCATGTGTGCGCACACACACACACACACACACACAACCATAAGATCGATAGAAAAGCCCAATGAGAGCATGAAGTCAATATCTTGTCCCTTTTATCCCTTCAGGTGGGCCGTAATAAGGCCAGAGAGAAGACTGAGAGCTGCTATCGTGGGCAGGGTGGCCACCAAAACCAAATCTTTACAACATTAAACTGAGCGTCAAGTGTAGACAGAGTACCATGAAACCAAGTAATGACACACCATCACACCAAAGAGTGCAGCGTGCTACAACAGAAATTATATCGCAGTCACTGGTGAAGAAAAATTTAAATGAGAGAAAGTTTTGTTTTGTCTGTGGCTGATCTGACTTAAGAGGATTAATCTAGATTCATTCATATCGAACAAAATGTTGGTAAACAAAGCAAACAAATACAAAGGATGAACCTGAGAGATACAAATCATACGATATATTTGTGTATAAATGATTAATACTTTTCTCCCGCCTATGTTTATGGTAACAGTGCTGTCTGCGTATATGCATGTTACCTGATGAAAGTCTGAGGACTGAATATTGTAATTAAAGTGCATATAAATATAGTGCAACAGCTTTGTAGAAATTAAAAACATTTTTAATGAACACATGCATGATATTACTAGTTACCACAAAAAATGAGTACTATAGTGCTCTTAGTTAGGGCTGTAACCAGAACTAAAACAATCAACCGACAGAACACTTAATTGCCAACTATTTTGATAATTGTTTCATCATTTGAGTCATTTTTTAAAGCGAACTAAAACACAGTTCACTGGTTTTTCACTGCTTCTCATATGTGAATATTTGCTGTTTTCTTGTCTTGTATGAAACTAGACTGAAGATTTTTGGCTTCTGGACTATCAGTAGCACAAAACAAGCTTTTTGAAGGCGTCATTATATAACTGACACTTTGTGGACCTGGCTATTAATTGATTAATTGAGAAAATACTGCAGATTAAGTAGTTGTTGACTGTGTAGCAGCTAAATCACTACTTCCCAAAGTTCAAGGAGACATCCTCAAATTGTTTCTTTTGTCCGGCACGCTCAAAAAAGCCAAATATATTCAATTAAAATGTTAGAAAATGGAAAAGCAGCAAATCTTCACATATGAGAGGCTGGATTTGTATTTTTGCTTAATAACGACTGATTAATAGCTTTTCAAAATGGTTGGCGGCAAATTTTTGTCCTACTTATTGTTTCAGCTGTCCTCCAAATGTTGAACAGCAATAATAAAAGCAATGCAACAGTCATCAGAGCTCTTTATGAAAAGTGTTTTACTACAAGCAAACAAATGAAAAACTTCTAGTCACTAGCCTGTTATTTATCTAAATCACATACTGTATATAAACACACACACACACACACAGCCATATGGCCGGTTGTCATGTCCTCGCCATCTCCACTGCCCTATCTCCTGTCTCGTCCTTCCTGCCTGCTGCATTAGTGGCTGCTGGATAAATACCAGCCTACTGACTGCCCAAGCGAACAAAGGTTAGATACACACAGATCAACAGTGAGGCCGCACGCACGCACGCACGCACGCACGCACGCACGCACGCACGCTAAAAGAACATACACGCAGACGATTGATGGTAGTTAAACACTTAAAAAGCACACTAACTCACAGTCATGGCAACTAAAAAACATCCATGTGACAAAGTAACACACACACACACACACACACACACACACACACACACACACACACACACACACACACACACACACACACACACACGATGGTGTGGTTGACTTAAACGCCAGCAGCAACTATTACCAGATAATCCTCATGTTAGCAAGGACAGGGATGGCGGGAGAAAAGGGGAGAGGAGAGGCAGGGAGAGACAAACTAGTCTATTTATCTGGGGAATAGAAGGAGGGTGATGATGCATGATCAAGCGAAAGCAATCATGTCATCATTTCTGAAAGGTAGGAGAAAATAATTCTCCCCCCCTCCTCTCCTCTTTTCCCTTTTCCACCTCAATCACTGTGTGGCGAACAGATAAAAGAATGATTTAAGAGTCGCAGAGAGGAAAAGAAAGAGGGAGAGACCTTGCTGCAAGTCGGAGCACAGTGGGGAGTGTAGTTCAAATAAATAGCCTCCCTTAAAGAGCGCGTGTGAGGCGGAAGGAGAGCAGAGAGGGGAGACGGCGTTGCTGGGAAGGCCGAGGCGTGGAAGAAAAAGCAGCGAGCAGTGGAAATAACAAGAAAGAAAGATGACGGCTGGAATGAAAGATGGAAAATGACGTATGGACAGAAAGCATACTGTCGGCTCAAATGCAGCTATAGATCTCAAAACCTAATTAATTGCATTAGGTATAATCTCTCTCTTCCTCACATACACAGTCACATGGAGTCCAACACACACACATACATGCGCACTGTGAGTGTATCAGGGGTTATCTTTGCTCTAACTAGGTGTTGTCACACACTCACGCATACTCTGGCGGTGCTGGGCACGAGTAGATCGGGGCTCTGCACGCTCTAACTAGGTGTAAATACAATAACAAGCCTGTAATTAAGTGAGCATGATGAAGTTAATGGAGATCGGCCATTCCGTCGGCCGCCTCCATGAATATTCTATTAGGCTGGTGGCGACGGGCAGCTGGAATAGCAGTTAATTTAATCACCACTCGGAGCACAGGGAAACTTCTTTGTGTGAGTGTAATTGCACAGAATGAATAATTGATTTGACAATCGCACCCGCGGATTTTGCCACCCCGCTTTGTATCGCCGGAGAAAGGGAGGGGAGCGTGGCAGATGAAGAGAGAGAGAGAGAGAGAGAGAGAGAGAGAGAGAGAGAGAGAGAGAGAGAGAGAGAGAGAGAGAGAGAGAGAGAGAGGAGGAAAAGAGGAGAAGAGAAAGAAGACAGAGCGGAGAGAGGAAGAGGAGTGGGATGGTAAAAGAGGACCAAATGCAGAGTGCTGAGAGGTGGCAGGGAAGCTGTCGGTAAATGGATCATTAGAAAAGCGCAGCTCAAGGACAATTTATATTTTATCAATGCGGCAAAATTACATTATTGCTCACACACGCAATCATACTGCCCACACTCAAGATTGAGACCTGGAGGGGAGGGGTGATGGAGGAAAGAGAAAGGCAACAGATAGACAGAGGGAAGGTGTGTGTGTGTGTGTGGGGGGGGGGGGCATAAAAAGGGAGACCAGGGGAGATGGAGAGAAGAAAAGAGACATGAAATGATTTGAAAGTCATTGATACGGGATGTTCCCAGCTAAGGAACGGACAGCAAGTTTTGGTTTTTTTTTTTTTTTCATAGCGTGTGTGCCTCTGTGTGTGTGTGTATATAATCTATTAGAGATCTCCTGCAGCGGATGAAATTACCTCCATGTTTTACTCAGTCGCAGCAATCAGGCACAAAAATGCAATGTACATGTAGATAAGACAGGCGCTGGCTCGCAAATGTGCGCGCGTGCACTCACAACACAACCGCGCTGTAGCACTGCAGTGCACGCATACATTCAAGCTGATCAAATTACATTCAGTCTCGACTCAGAGCTCTTTTATGTACAGCTATTTCACTTTACTGTGCTTCATTGTGTGCGTTCAGTACACACGTAAACATTCAGAACCATAAATACCCAGAATATCCTCTGAACAATACGGCTGTACAGGTACTGCTGTATATAATGACATTTTTATGAGTTTAGTAAACAATGGCAAAGCAACCTTTATAAGGGATGAGGCTGGTGATGTCCTACATTGTCACTGTCAATAAATGAGCAAGTCCAGTTTCTCAGCCCCGGGGCTCTCAGAGCATTTTCAAACCTGTGTAGTCCGATTGAACTAGAGGTTTGTTTGGGTAGATCTGAACACAAATTCTTGAGGGTTTAATTTGTAGTGGGAACATGACGCGACCTCGATCTGACCTAACTACAAAACGTACGCTGAAGGTTTGAGCTGAACCGCTCCCGTAGCAAGGTGCACTTTGAACAGAGCTCATCGGTTAGATGTGTGGCGGGCGGGGACGTCATGACATGCAAACTAAAATGTATCAGTTAGAGCTACGTGGCTTTTCGTGATTTGGTTTGGTTTTCATTTTTTTGTGTGTGAAAAGAAACTGAACCAAGGGGAAGGGAAATTTCACACCACTCTCAATCCCAAGGCCGTACTGAACACAAAAAGGCAATTCATTATTTTGGCTGGTAAAAAATATGCTTGTTCGGTGGATTTTACCCATCTATCAGTCCAGTTAGCCGGTGAGTCAAAAAGTAAATTTCAGACATTGGTTGTGGTTTTCAGCCGTGGATTAATACACACCTGGCGAGTTAGCAAGTATTTACAGCAGCCGCAGGATGGTCTTCTGTGGGATTAAATCAAAGGAAACCACAGTGTCCATGTTCACCGTGATGAAGGAACACGCCACTCAGTGCAACAAGGGCGGCTCATTGGTGTGTTAGGCACCAATGAGGTCAAAGGGGAATAAGATGCATCAGGCTCTGGCTACACATACAGTATTAGTATAATGTCAGTTAATAATTCACATATAAATATAGTTTTGAAACTTCATGTTGCCAGCATAATGTTTACCCAGCTCTTCTAGTAGCAGATGAAGCTATTTACATTCCCTACACAGCACTATCACCACCAGAAAGACCGTACAACAATTTTAAGCTTACATGGTGTACATACACAAACAATGCTCGTAAATCTTTTATACGTATATGTGCACACGCTCCCACGGGGACCACACTCAACGGACAGACACACACAACAGAGTAGAGTAGGGTGTATAGGATTGTAAGTCTCCTCCCTGTAATCTGAGCAGTGTGGCCCCTGGGTGTGTAATGCAGTAATATGGGGTATTATGGCCCCAGGACGGAAGGATAACACCATAAACCTATATTTTATAGCAGCATGAGTGTGTGTGTGTATACATGCATCCGCCTCTGTTTGAGGAAAGCAGAGGCATGAGTGTGTGTCAGATATTAATAATTTGGTGGAGACACTGTTTAATAACACAAGATGAACTGATAAAGTCACACACTGTAAACCTTCCTCAACAACAGTGACCCAGATCTGCCATAAATACAACCTCCTGGCTGGATAAAAGACACCCATGCCACCTTCGGGGTTGTAGAACTACAACATGAGACATTATTTGTGGGCTCAAATATCTCCGTCTTAGTATTACGAATTGTCAAATCTTATCATCCAGTATCAGTATCATGTATTTTTGTACGAATACGGACATCTGTACTTACAAAAAAAGAGTTATGCCTGTTTCCGTTCAGTTATATAATTAATTTAGTCTGCTATTAAAGGTTAAAGCCCGCAGCTGGTGGGCGATCCAATCCTTCCAGAACCTTCTGTCCTGTGCGCTAATCTGAGACACTTTTCTTACCATCTCAAGGGGAAACTCACACCGAACCACCAGTTGACAGTCTATAGCTGCAGCTTATTTGCTTTCTACAGTAGCTTAAACCCTCAGATGTTTAACTTAAACACCAAAACACACATGCACAAGTAATAAATCTGATTTAAAATGAACTCCACTACTGTGCGTGTGAAACAAATCTAAAAAAAGTTTCAGTATCTGTCAATGAGTGCCAACGGCCGGTTGCAGAAAAATCTGCAGGCTGCAAGAAAAATCTGAGGGGACACGAGCTGATGAACAAAACGGGGCTTTTTAAACTTTTTAAACTTTGACTGTAGATAGGATTCGCTGCTGTATGTAATTGTGTATTGTGTTTGTGTCTATATTGGATGGATCTTCTGTGCATTTATTATTGACTGCTGCTGTAAGACAAATTGCCGTTAGGGGACATTTAATCTTTATTATATTATATATATTATTATACAAAATGATCTTTGTTTTTGTCAAATGTCTCTCTAATCTCTAAGGTTAAGAATACCTAAACCTCCCAATTAAATATATTAGTCATAAGTGTTTTTTTCCCCCAAACCAATCTGGGAAGCCAAAATCACTCATTCGCTGCACGCTTACAACTCATAAACATAGGCAACCAGGAACAATGTGGCATAAGGGGGACTCAAGCTCTCCATGTTGAGGACCACTGAACTACAGCATTGTTTGCAAGATTACCACTTTGAAGTGGGACTGGTTTTGAAATAGAAAACGGACAGAACCATGTGAAATGTCTGCTTCCTGATCTGGTGTCGGTGGACTACAAAACGCTTCACAACCACGTAACTAGAGACAGCATGAAATTTGTTTTTTGTTTTTTTAAATAACAGCCACTACCTTCCGTAAACATATGAAAACCATATCAAATGTGCATTAACATTAAAGACGGTATAAAGTTATGAATTATATTCAATGAGCCCAACAACTGACACATAAATACAGAGGAGTCTTGTTGCTTGAATCTGTAGCGTTTCTCCTGTTGGAACACTTTTATAACAAATTTGACGACTGCCAGGTTTTAAATACACAAGAAATGCTGTTCGGGTAACTAAACCATGCAACATGTTATCATGTGCGATGGTCGCACAATTACTGCAGACACATGACACATACAGCAGCAGAACAACTTCCCATCCCACAACTGTTTTTACACGAAAAAGTAACAGAGAGAGCTTCAGTTTACAAGCTGTTAGCAAGTTTGACAGACACACAATGACGTTTTCCCTCATTCCCAAGTCCACACATCATGATTTGAGCTAAAAGGTACCTAGCATTCATTTTAAAGTAGTGGGTGGTGGTCACGAAGATGACATAAGATATGTGGTTAAAAACCAAAATACAACCACAGTTTTGACTTAGTACTCTGAAGGTTTATGCTGAAAAATTTGCAGAGCGCTTTCACTGCCTTCCGCCATGTTTTCATTGACTCAAAACAAACCCACACTGCACGCTGCGCCTGTGTCTGGGAGACTGTTGCTAACTTTGGTTGATGGTGTACAGGATATACCGAGCAATTTTCATAGCGTGGTAATCAAACACGTTTTTTCTTTTTTTACCACTGAGTAAAGAATGTGTGACGTTGTGTTGTGAGAGACAAAATAAGACTGAAACCCAGGAAGAGAAAGCCCGGCGCAGATCACACTGCAGAGCTCAGGAACATAAAGAAAGGAGGAGAGTCATGAATTGATTGGTGATGATTTCTTGGATCTGGGTAGACAGAAATAACAGAAAGCAAAAATGGAGGCTATAATCATGTTAGTACCCCCCTCCCCCCCTTACACTGGTCCAATCCCTCTATTTCAGCTCCCTCCATCTTCTGAGTGGTCATCTGTTGATTACACGTTATATTTACCTCTGCTGTCTCACTCTTTCCCTGCCTCGCTCACGTCCTGGCTGACACACACTCACAGCATTCAGGCATACATACATAAATAACATACATACATAAATATTTAATCAAATAAATAAATCACTCGGCCCAGCGGCCCTTTCTAATCAAGTGACATCAATCAGGGGGAACTATGGGTAAAGAGGCCTTGTGGCTGACGCCTACTGAGCGCGCCCAGAGCGCTGGAGTAGCGTCTATTTGAGTCCAAGGGGGGAAATATACGCTCCATGTCCCATTATAGGAGAAGGGCTATCCTTTCGTCAGCGCGCCCATTACTCCCCCTATCATTTCCCCAAATCTAAAACCTGTTTTCAATCAACACAGCCAAACGAGTGCCTGTCCAAGAGAGGGAGAGGGAGAGAGAGAGAGAGAAAGGAGAGAGAGAGCAAAGGAGAGAAAGCAATAGAGATGGACAGTGAGGGTAGGGGTAGAGGGAGAGCGATCGAGGGCTCTTTCCTTCTTTCTTCCAGTGATTGGAGCGTTTTGCATTCTGTATGTGTGTGTGATTGAATCCGTCTCCTAAATTAGGGCTGTCGACTCGAGGAGCTGAATGTCCTTAACCCCCCTCCCCATATCCAATGCCCATACTCCGCTACGTTTATGTGTGTGTGCACGCGTGAGTGTGTCACATCATTGGGGAATATTGCAAGTGTAGCCTGGGTAAAAGGTTTACGTTGAGCCATTGATTGCTAATGCTATGTTGTATGTGTATTTGTGAGAAAGCATTGTTAGGACATCAAAATTCAAACTTCAATAGCGGCTCTAGTCACTTGATTTCAGTTTCAAAGGTGGTACAGCAGAATAAATAAAAACAGCAACAAAAAAACATTTAATAAAATATGATTAAAAAAAAATCAGGCCTGTTTTCTGTTTGCACAAAACTTTAGCAATGAATTCTGTCACAAACAGAAAAATACTTTCAAAAGTACAAGAGGACCTCAGTACAGTAACATGTATGTGTGTGCATTACCTCTCTCATCAGCCTGTAGTAACTTGGCAGCTGCATAGTCCCAGTCAAAGATGAACCTGTAGAAGCAGAGCTGGTTGTACAGGGCCTTCTCGGAGTACTGTAGAGAAAACACACACACACACAAGCAGATTAAAACATTGGTTATTGAAAACCTGACGAACAAACTAATTTTGTGTGGAAAACGGCTCCTTTCTTTACTTTTCTTCTAATACTAATGCCACGTTCACATTGTTCGATACTTCAATTCAGTGGAATGAATTGAATTTTATTGTAGCATTAACAGAAAAACTGCATTTAATGAGAATACCCAATCCAATTTATAGGCAGCTTTGGTGCCAATACTAAAACGATAAGTCAATTAATCAAATGGTTTATGAAAATTGCTGCTTTTTCGTCTTATTTGATAAAACACTGAAAACAAGACGACCCCTTAGGTTGTGGGAAGTTGTGTTTCAGTACCTTCTCATATTTTATAGACAAAGGAATATACCACGTCATTGAAAAACAAATCTGCAGATGATTCAATAATGAAAATAATCTTAAATTGCACCTTACTTGTGTGAATTTGGAGTAATCTTTTAAAGATTTCTCTGTTCTAATCGATTCTGCTGACATGGCGTGAATGCAGCGTTACTCTCCTCTCTCTTTTCAAACTCCCCTTGACCTTGTTTAATAGAAACTCTTAACAGTATGTCACCACTTACTGGATAAAACAATGCTGCTAATCCATTTTATAAGTAAGTTATTAAACCCCATTTTTTCATTCTAATGAGAGTGGAGAGTTCATGACAGGGCAAAAAAAACAACATCATCCAAAACAGATTAATAAACCTCGTTTACCAGTTTGAGAAACAGGTAGACTGAACGTGACTCTACAAAATGTGCACCCCACTCATTGAAAACATCTCCCTTCCTCTGTGTGACACAGTAAAGCAAGAAAACAAATTTGCTTGCTTTGTTAATCTCCACTGCAATTAACTGGAGCCACACGACAGCCTGCCAGAGGGAGAGAGGGAGAGAGAGATGGGAAAGAGATGGAGAAGATGAGCAAGACAGAGAGGTGGGAGGGAAAGAGAGAAGAAGAAAAAAACAGCAAAAGAGAAAGGGTAAAGATACAGAAAGAGAGAGGGAGAGAATCAAGAGACAGTGAGGAAGAGAGAGAAAGAAAAGAGGGGATCAGGCCTGAAATACACTCCCTCATAATAGTTTGTTGTGATAAGCCATTGTGAGAGAGGCATGCGAACAGCCGAGGCTGTCAATTTGATTAGCCATTATACTGCATGTTTAATTGCAGTTATTGGCTCGTCATTTCCCTGCTATGCTGGAGAGGGCACGCTAAGCCCCGACCCCACACTGCCATCAGGTGTGCGCCGAGTGCTTTATTATTACCACCAGGAAGAATCCCCTGACAATTCCTGTGTCAGTATCTGTGTGTGTATGCGTGTGTCAGAGTGAGAGAGAGAGAGAGAGAGAGAGAGAGAGAGTGTGAAGGGAGTTTGTGTGTGCCCATTATACCTGCCAAACGGCAATGTGCGTAATTGTAATTTCAGTTTTTACTGCTGTGGCATAATCAAGTGGCGAGAGTATCTAATGCAACTAAATGCAAACTATGCGGTGTGTGTGTGTTTAATGGCTTTCTATGGCTGCCCACATGGCACACACAGCTGTTGACCGTTGATGCACTGCCTAGTCAACAACCAAACCATGCACATCCCATAATGGAGCCTCGGTTACGGTTGCCAAGGTTGAACAAGCTCAGTCGGCACACCACTTCTTCCTGAAACACACACACACATACACGGGTGCTCAACACTCACGTTCAAACAATATAACGCTGATTGTGGGCGGGCCAGTCGCTGCATACTGATTGACTGACAGGTGTCAGAAAGGCGTGGCTAAAATGTTACAGGGTTGTTATTGAATTTAGAGCCCCTCAACCCCACCTCACTCGCTCTCTCACACGCGCACACTGCCACACACATACGCACACACGCACGCCTACCTCGTCATTCAGCTCGGCGCTTTGTTCCTGCACTGACACCATTTCAATTTGCTCCACAAATCTGCAGCATTTTCAGCCTGACTGCCTAAGGAGCAAACCAGCTGTGAAATTGCCTCTCTCCCGGGAGCGTAGGACCCCCCAGCCCCCACCTCGTACCCCTTGCTCCTTTGCCTCCCTCTTCCCCGACTGAACCCCCCCACCCCGCCTAACCGACACACATATACACATCCTGCTGCATGTATACACGCAAAACACAGTTAAGCCAAAAAGGAAGATGGAAATGTGCGTGATAGAGACGAAAGAATAGAGACAGGATATATAGAATAAAGGAAAAAGTACGAAATAAGAAAAAGAGGCTAAATCGCACAAATTGATCCAAATCACAGAGCAACAGTCTAAAATGTCTCACACAATAAAACGAGCACTCAAGACTTCCAGAGTCTTAAAAACACCTGTCTCTATCTTTTAGGTGACACACAAACACACACACATGCACGAAGACACACACATCCGACCTCCAAATAACTTTTGCACACTACACTGTCGCTCAAGTACACCAGTGAAGCAGTTAATGAAAAGGTAGTCAGTCAGACAATACGTCTGTGTGTGCATGTGAGGGAAGAGTGCAAAAACAAAAACACACAGTTTATAGTGGATGGGAAGTGTGCAAGCTGCAGAAAAACTACCACCATTCATGCCTTGACATGGATACGGCTTAGAAGGAAACATCGCTGTAACGGTGACACAAACAAGGCCTCGGCGACGCACACTTTTTCCCTCCATACTCTTCTACGGCTCAGCCGCAAACACGCCGTGTAAATACTGAAGCCACAATATCCGAGCCCTCGCGCAACTGCAGCTGCAGAAAGAGAGAGGGAGTGAGAAAGGGAGGGAGACGGAGAGAAACAAACATACATTTTCCCTCAGCTGTGAGGCCACAAGGCTTTAAAACTCTTGAGCTTTTTAGATGCGATGAGCGTTATTGCCGGTTGTGGTAGTCACGCCGATCAGCTTCACAAGACACCATAATGAGTCAATATATGTAAATCTTTACTAGGCAAACACGGCGGGAAACAAAGGCATTTAACTGGTGCTCTCGCCCGCAAGCCTCCAACGATTCAGCACCGGTAATTTCTCCCCATTGAAAGGCATAATTGCCTGCTATTTGAAGATATTCATGCTCAATTTTTGAAATTAATTTCAATTGGAGGGAAATGTAGAAATGTCAGCTCCAGTGAAAGGGATTTGATTTCAATTATCCTCGCTCAAAGGACTGTGATTTCCAAATACACTTAAGCAAAATTATGACAAGAATTTTTGTTCGGCAAAATTCAGTGTTTAAAGAGCGATTAGGCGATAATGGGGCAGCTTTGAGCCGGCAGTGAATGCAGCCGTCTCCCTCTGAAAGGCACTCAATTATCTCTGATTGCTCCCGCTATAATGTATCAAATAGAGATACCTGCTATTGCCGTAATTTGTGTGAAAATTAACATGCTGCAATTTCCACTAGAGGGAAAAAGGGAGCTCTAATGGGCGCCTGAGCGTACATCAATAAAACGAGGGGAGAAAAAGAGAGACAGAGAGGGAGGGTGAGAGGAGGAGAGAAAGAGCAAGCCAGCAGAAGAGAGAATGAGTCTAAGAGCTAAGGAGGGAGGGGAGGGAAGGAAAATGAAAAGAAAGGAGCAGGAAAGAAAAGCATTGAATAAAAAAAGGGGGGTGGGGGGGGAGAGAAAAGGAAAGTCAGGACAGAGATGTGAGACACTGTGAAAAAATAGCCCATTTGAGTTAAGCGCTCTGGAGGGAGGGAGAGGAGAGAGGGAGAGATGAAGAGCGAGGGAGAGAGGAAGAGAAAGAAATTTAATTTACTGAAAATATTACAAATTGCACCTGTGCATAACTCCCCCAAATTACCAACCAATCAAGGCAGAGTGCCTATTACTCTCCCATTACATGGAGATCAGATCACGCTCTGAATCTGTGTCCAGAGAGGGAGGGAGGGAGTAAAAGGAAGAGGCGCACAGAGAGAGAGAGCGAGAGCGAGAGGGATGGAGTGAGGAGAAGAGAGGAGAGGCAGCACCCACATCAATGGTAAACATACCATGACGCACGACAAAAAAAGGAAGCTCAGAGTCCCAAACGAGACGCTCCTTTACAAAAGTTCTGGCACAAACAAGTGTTTTTAGTGTACGGCGCACACAAAGAAAGAAACCCTGATTGTCTTTCTGGCTGGCGCTGACATTAGCTCGATAATCTATGATGATACTGGCAGATAAAAAAGCAGAAAGGGGAATGTAGCCAGAGAGTCTGGCTGGATGCACAGAAATCTGATGGCGCTTCCAACAAACAAAAAAACTTTACTAAAAAAAGACCTCTCAGCGGGGACTGGTAGATGTCTCATCTTCTTCCCTAGCTGTTTGAGCAGTCCATCCACCACCAGCTCAAACAGCCATGAATGGCCTCTTGAGTACTTTGCATAATTGGCAGCAATTTAATATGTAAACCGCTGGGCTATTAATCTCCATGCACTGGCTTGATTCAGATAACAGTGTTACCTAATACTGGAAAGTCAGCGTTAGCTTGATATCAATCTTGTTATACCAATTCCTCTCAGAGAGGGGTCAGATGAAAGGGTCAGCAACATCTAGTAGGGTTTAAATGCCTTGCTTAAGGGCTCCCCGGCAAGGAAGGTTCTTTGCTGTATTGTTACGTAGCAGCTCTTTCTGTTAACAAGGTATTTCAAAGAGCCTGTAGTGTGTCGGTATAAACACTAAAGACTAGTTAAGTTGTTAATTATCTGCAGCTGGTATACAATAAAGGGAAGAAAAAGAAAACCCTTTTAAACAGCAAAACGGCGTTGGGGTTGTGGTTTTCAGCTGTTCACATAAGCGTCTTAATGAGTCACGTTATGTTTCCTTATGACATGAACAGATATATTTGTAGCTTTAGTCAGTCCTTTGTGGCCGCAGCGCTGCTGTATAATGGCAGCCAGTAGGTAAATCAGGAGAGCCTTCTGAACTCTCGCCCAGGCTGCCTACGTGATTGATTTCAAAGCCTTTTTCTGTACTGAAATATCAGACGAGCTGAATTTATGACACCATCCCTGCACAAACTCCATGCTTTCTATTTTCGCAAACTGATCTTCATGCCTTGCTGGTTAACTACAGCAGTGTCTACATTGCGTGCCGCCTGTTTGTTTATTCCCTGTAGCAGGCAGTAGGTTGTAGCATGGTGCTAACAAGACCGAATCAGCATACTGTTGAGGACAGAGACCCTTCAACCAGATGGAGCCCCCTATGACTGCCATCACAGTCCTGCTAAGACACAGGGCCTCTATTTTATTAATTCAGTCAAAGGTATATAAAAGGATAATGAACTTGAATGAATGAATTGGCTAATGTAAATGAAGTGAATTAATAACATTTTAAATCCGCTATTATCTAGATCAGCACATGAGCGGCCCAATAGTTGTTAGCCAAGCAGACAGAGTAAAAACGATATTCAAAATAGCTGCACTGAAGCTCCTTCTACCAGTTTACCTTGCTCCTCTCCTTTGGGAATCCCTTTAAACTTAAAGGGTGCTGCAGTGTACATTATCAGTACTTCTGTTAGGTGGTTTATTTGTTACAACTCGTGTGTCCGTCTCTGCAGCAAAAACAAAGATTTTGCCAAAGCAGGATGGCGTTTGGAAAAAAAAGTTGTATTACATTTCTTATATGCTTAAATTTCACACAGCGCCACATGGATGTTTCTCCTAACACTGTGTAAACCATGCTGAGCCTGACCCCTGTTGTCCTCATTGTTGGTTCTCTCAGACATGATTTAGATTTTGTCAGTGTTTCATTATTCTCTTGCTTAAAATTGCTCTATTTTATACCGTACCTTTGTGTTAAGGCACCTTGCAAACTTTTCTGAGTTGTTTTTTTTTTTTTTTTTATAGATTATCAGCATCGTCAGTCTTCCTTAGATGTACATGAAAGGAGTATGTGTAGAGATCAAACGGTGTGGTCGAGGAACAGGTAAAATGAAGAGAGGCTGCAGGTTTTAGGGTAGAGAAAGGGTGCATGAGTGAGCATGGAGAGTTAAATGTTTTATTCAGCCCCGCAGTTTAAAGTGCCACGGCCCTCAGGCACAGCAATGGCCGCCTAAGTGGCTACAGTGACAGCAGAAATTGGCCTTCTGGTTTACAACCTGTCGCCACAGAGTCAGACACGGCAAAGCAGCCGGGGCGGGGGGAGGTGGGTGCAGGTAGGAGCAGAGCACGCAAGAAACAAAAATTGACAAGAGAGAGTTAAGGCAAGGGTTGAGACAGGACTGGTAAGAATGGGGACAGGGAAAGAGGACCAAAAAAAACAGATTGAACCGTCATGCTCAAATTGAAAGGGAGAGTGTTTCTTTTAAATCCAGTGGTCAGGCTAACAAAGCGTTCATAAGGCGGCTACCAGAGCTAGACAGACAGATGCTTTTAATGCTTTAACTACCAACCAGCTCTTAGTGCCTGAAGGCAGGCATGTGGGTGCACGGACACACTGTCACACAAACACACAGAATCTGGGCGACAAAGAGAGGATTACTTTCATCATTGTGTGTGTGTGTTAGAGTATATATGGTGAAATGTGATACTAATGAGTAAAGATGTACAGCACATATGAGAGGAGAGATTTCAGCTCCATAGCACCATCACCTGGACAGAACATACAGAATTCAACAACGTGCCATCTCTTTAACTAAATAGAGGGAGTGCATGATTCGTGAGTGTTTTGTGGTGGCGTTACCTCGCGTCTGAGGGTCGCCTTGGTACAGGCGGGGCAGATGGGTCCATGGCGGGAGAAGGCGATGGGCAGGCGTCTGGTCCTGTTCTGGCAGGCCAGGTCCTCACACACCAGCCAGCCCTATGAGAGAAACATCAAACGCATTACTTCCAACAACAGTCAAACTTTCACACTTCAGCAGAGTTGCAACAGTTAGTCCATTAATAAGCCAGTTGATTGACAGAGATTATATTGGCAATGATTTTGATAATTGATTAAGTGTTTAATATTTCAGACTGCAAAAGATTAGCTGGAGGCAGCTTCTTAAATGTGAGGATTTGCTGTTTTTGGCACTCTATCGAATATTTTGGAAGAAAAATGTAGACTAAAAGGTTAAAACTAAACAATGAACAGAAAAATGGTTCATAAAATTTATCTTTATTTGTATCTCGACACATTAGGTCATTCCTCAGCTGTTAATCTTAGACTAGTTTGGTTTCCTGCTGAGGCTTTGGCTGCCCTGAAGAAAAAAAAAAACACAGAAAACCATTTATTAATTCCCTTTCTATGATTTTCAGAGCATTTACTCCCTGAATACCCATTACTGTAAATTACTTTAAATTCTAGCTTTTTCATGGGTTTCCTGATGTAAATATCTGAAAACACACACACGACTACGCTGCGCTTCCAGCTGACAGATGAACACAGAAGGGCACCAAAAAAAAACAACACACAACTCAAAGCCGCCTTTACTACCCTACGTGATTACTTATTTATAAAATGTTTTCATGTCACCATTTTTTATTGATAAAGGTGTTGTTAAAAATTGAACAAACAAACAAACTTTTGTTGCCTCAAAAACGGTTTGTGGTAATGAGGAAATGTTGCTGAAAATTGTTGCTTCCATTTAGCTGCTCTAATTCTGCACAACAGAACTGACAAGAAAAGTAGTCGGAGGAGGAAGAAAAAGAATGGATGTAAAATAAAAACAACTGCAAGAGACAGGCTGAGAAAGAACAGAGGTTTACATCTGACTTCACATCCCAACCTGCTGTCTCTCTCTCTTTACATTTGACCGTATCTACAGCTGCTACTGTTGGGGTCCTGGTCTGTGAGCACTTGTCACACAGGCAGAGCAGTGGACAGCCAAAACGGCAGTAGTTAGGACCCCCTGGGCTGAGGTAGTGACCCTGGGCAGGTGCTGTGGTCTAACCCTCTCAATCTCCCCGTATTCTTCCAGACCCCTCCACCCCCACTGCTTCTTGTGCCCTGTCATTACTAAGGGGGTTTAAGGGGGAGGGGGTTAATGCCCAACTAATGACAGAGCATAAGACCCACCACCATCAATGCATTTGCTTTCCTCCATCTATCCATCCATCCTTCCTCCCTTCCATTCACTCAAAATAAACCACTGCACCTGTCTTTGTATCCACATCCCCCTCACACATACAGGCACGCAGAGTTTCTCTGATTGATTTTTATCTTTGGCTTTGTCTCGTCTGCTGATCAGTTTTGAGCAGCAGCTACAAAAGAATTGGTAAAGATTGTTGTTTTTTTCTTTACGGCTGTACTCCACAGTATATAGACACTTTTCCTTTCATGCCAAGAACAAACTGGTTATAAGGACGGGTTAGCGGTTACCACCAAAATTGACTCTTTAAAGACACAATCCTATACATGCAGCACAATTATTATTATTTTTTTTTAACTAGATCATTAAGATGTTTCTATAACAAAAAAAAAAATCTATCAATGTATGAACTTTTTCATAATTTTATTACTTTGAATCACTTCGACACTGATCAACAAGAACTCAATAAATGCATCAAAATTAAAGTACGTTATGAATCATAAGTATTTATTTAGTTAAGGCACTTTAGCAACAAGTTCTATTTAGATGGGTTTGTACCACCTTGACACACACCTGGACACTGCAATTCCCTCCCATTGTTCTTTAAAACACTGTTCAAACTCATATGGGGACGACGGTAAACGGCAGTTTTACTTAAGTTCTGTCACTGTGTCTTACCCGGGCTGAGCTGTGGACTCCAACCAACCAGTCACACAAGAACTTTGACAAAGTTGTAAGTCATGTTGTAGCCTAACCTGCAATCCAGACTCTTCTTTTACTATTAGAACTTTTCCTGCAGTCTCGCAACATGTAGACAATGATTTCCATTCATGTTCAGACCTGTGAAAGCATTTTAAAGACGGATTCATTGTGTAAAGTAGCAATGCGACAGATCACAAAACCCACGTTTCGGATCATTTCTCAGATGAAAAAAAAAAAAAAAGGGTTAGGGTTAAATTATTTAGGTACTATTTGGCTATTAGGTATTTAAGTAGGTACGTACTTGCATCTCTGTGGTCTCGCTCAATGTCCTGCCCACAACACTGATCTGATTCGTTACACGTCACGAGTAAGAATCTACCAACACTGAAGGCTGCTGTGCCACAGATGGGCAAAGTAACCTCCGAGGAGCAAGCCGGAGTTGTGTGTCGGAGGGAAGTCAGCAGGTATTACTGTAGCTGCAGTAAACATCACAATCTGATGATCTGTTTTTATGATGACAAGCAAGCCCAGTGTCCCAGCTACACCACTGAAGAAGTCACAGCCTACAGGGTTTCCCCTCAATGGAGTTGAAAGTGACAGCTTTTAAATCAGTTGCTCTCCTCTAACCCAATCATTGCGCTTCAGAGTTAAACACAGCATGGTGTGAAAATGTTTTTTTACACTATAATGGCTAAACTTTACAATTAATCCGTGGTTTAGTGGTGGCTGGGGGGCTCTGTACATGGATCAACTACTATCTGTTTTTTCCACTAGTGTAGAGTAGGGAGTAGGGATTTAAGAACATACTGCACATTAAACTGTAAATGTTTTCTTTCTTTATTATGCAATTAAACAGGAAATGTAAGAGTAGACAGGGAGAGGAGAGCTTCATGCAGCTTACACACACAGCTGCTTGCACGCACACACACAGCCAGCAAATCTCCTCTAAATGAAAATCAAACACACAAGTCCCAAATCAATTAGAAAGTCCCAGAGTTCACAGCTTTACCCACAAACCCCAGCTCCAGGACTAATTATCTAAACACCTCTGCCACTCTTGTACAAAGAGCTGAGCATCATGGGAAATGAGACTGCTCCACCGTCTCTGATAAAGACATATGCAGGACAATGGTTTGTGGAGGTGGGAGATAAGGAGTATGAGAGCGTTTAAAAATGGGCGGCGACTCGATCTCTGTCTTTTTTTGTGTGTGTGTATTTCTTATGACACAAGCCTTGGCACACATTGCTGTTCCCATGGGGGACGGACGGACACACACACACACACACACACACAGCATTCAATGTAAGCACAAACATATTAATCATTTTCCATTCACATGCAATAAAATGAATTAATAAGACACATCCAAGACTCAAGACACATACTGAGAAAGCTGAAAGGAGGGAAAAAGCCACCCACAATGCCCTTGTGCTCTGCTACTGTGACCCAAACCCATCCACACACACACTTAGAAAAATAAAAATAAATTGAGTGCAGCGGACCCGTGTGAGCCACGCAGAAAGGGCTAAAAACAAAGAGCACACGGGGAAAGACACAGGGAGGGAAAAAAAAATAAAAATCTAATTGAGGCATTTCGGCAGAGCGAGGGTGGGGGTGTACAGTTGGACATGAGAGAATAAAGGCTCATAATTGCATAATTATAGCAGTGGATACCTGACACACTGAATGCAGACGTCAAATGAGTTCCACATAATTTAACCAAACAGAGGCAAGACCAAGCCACGACAGGGCCCACCACGAAATATACCCTCTCTCTTCTTCTTCGTCTGTTTGGTTGTTTTAACTCTCTCGTCGCTTCCAAAACCCTCTCACTCTTGCAGTTTTGGATTTGATACTTTAACGTCCTCTTTATTACTGTACTCCTTCTATTGGAGCTTCAGGGATTTATATGGCAAAGAGTGATATTTGCAAACGACTCTACAGTATCAGTGCTGCCGTCTTTGACCCTTGAACTCCTTACAAGAACAGCAGTCATTGATCAACAATTAGTTGATCAATGACTTAGTTTGATCACAATTGTGATAATTTATTAATCATTCAAGTCATGTGTAGAGCAAGACATGCAGCACAGAGCAAGAAGTGCTCGTCAAACGAAAGAGCAATCTGAAGACATCACGTTTGGCTATGTTAAACTGCAATGGGCATTTTTAACGCTTCATGATTGATAACAGACAGACTGATTGATTATGACGATTTTCATTATGTTAACTCTTTTCTCAATTAATGGATTCATTAGTTGATAAATTGACAGAAAATAGTGAAAAGTGCTCCTCGAAATATCAAAGAGCACAAGGTTACAAGGATTTTACTATAATGTCAGAGAGGCTGCAATTCTCACATTTGAAAACCTGGAACCAGTCCAAAGACCAAAAAATCTTCCCTTTACTTTCTCAAAAGACAAAATATGTACATCTGAGAAGTAACGCTGTCAACAGATGAATGTTCTGTTAAGTTACTAATCTATTAACCGACTAACAGCTTTATTGTGAATGTTAACACAGGGGAGAGGCCTCTGTGGGATGACTCCTTTACCAGAGGAATCCACCTGCCACACACACACACACACACACACACACACACACAGAAGTACCAGAAAGAGCTCTAACTGTTTTCTGTGCTTCAGCAGTCAACACTTCCATCTCTGAAGTGAATAGACTAAAATCGGTCTACTTCACAAACACACACACACACTCTCTCTCTGACACACACACACACACACACTGAATAGAGCTCAAACGGCTCCACTTTGTACCTCCTCCGCTTAATCAAAGCTTCTCTATTCAACAATTTGACCTTTTGTTCAAAACAGGATTATCACCTTCTCTGGTCTTCATTCACCCTTTCTCTCTCTGCCTCCCCCTTTCTTCTCTTGCCCCTCAGCCCGTTTCCAGGGGCGACCCGCGTGACGAGGGTAATTGCAATAATTTGTTAAATGCCATGGCAACGGTGGTTAGATGGGAGGGGTAAAAAAAGAAAAAAAGAGAGAATTGGGTGGTTCAGGAAAGAAGCGAATCATTTTGCCAAAGACAGCGGGACGAGAGGAGGAAGGGATGACAACAGTGTGTGCGTTTATATGAGGGGGGGGGGGGGGGGGGGGGACAAATGTTTGCCCATTCTCAGGGTGCTGGTTTATTGATAATGGTAGGGATGGGGGGGCAGGAGGTAATTTCACTAATGATTAATGTCTCTGTGGTCCTAGCTTAGGACGCCAACACACACACATGTATGTTGGCGTACACACACACACACACACACACACACACAGAGGTGCAGAGCTTTCAGTCTATCTGGCCAGACAAACAGCTCTATTTGAACTCTCCCTCGGCCTGAAAGGAATCCTTAATTACACAATATTACCCCTCTTCATTGCCCCGCTGTGTGTGTGTGTGTGCGCCTTGTCTACTGCTGTTCAGCCTCCAGTGGTGTGTGTGAGAGTGTGTGTTGCTGTGTGAGGTGTAAGTATTCAGTGGCAGCAGCTGTTTCACACATCGTGACAAAGGGGTTGAGGGGGACTCGCTCCCCACACATTCACCAAACTAATTGATTTCTGTTCAGCACTGTGGGAGAGTAACCCCCACCCCACACACACTTTTACTTTTACAGACAGTGCATTCCTCTCTCTCAAGACCAAGGTGTTAGAAGCTAACAGGGGAGGGGAGAGAGAGAGAGAGAGACAGAGAGAGACAGAGAGAGAGAGAGAGACAGAAAGAGAGAGAGACAGAGAGAGACAGAGAGACAGAGAGACAACACAGGCATCCAGTTTACTTCATTCTCAGTCTGCACTGTAACAACGGGCCCTGTAAACTGTTTTGCTCCAGGCTCAGTCAGCAGATATCTAACAACATTGCATGGGCAAATTTTAAAAGCAACCTAAAAGTAGAACCATCATCAGGTACACTATATATTTTCACAGAAATATACACAACAGTTTATAACTATATCGCAAAAATATATAATAGAAATAGATAATGTGTGGGGTTTCCTGCAGTGTTTCCCGCCTGAAACTTCAGCTAACATCATAAGGAATTATGACTTTAAGACTTTTATGAAGAAAAATAAACATTAACCTTCAGGGAAATAGAGGAAATGTCACATATTTATGAAATGCGACTACTGGTTAGGCCCATCTGCTAGCTAAATAGATCACAAAACGAGATGGATCAGGATCTATGCGATTTACCGATTTACGATATCCATTTGACATGGGAAGTTCCAAGAAATTTCAACAGGTATGCCCCCTTAATTGGATTTCCGACTCGGAAAGTCGGGAGAACTTACAAACCCCAACCTCAAAATCCAAGATGGATGCTACCGGACTTACAGTAGTGGAAGAATCAGAAGCTGAAGTAATTTACTGATCATACTGTCACACAATCAGTCATACACACAGTCCTGTCTGCAGACAAAATACCTCAAAATGCGTTGTTATGGGTGGATATTGCCAACAATAGCAGAGGTATCAATCTTGGTTTTCCAAATGAAATCTGTTGTTCTACTGGAACGCTGTCAACTCTCTGTGACGTCATTAACAGCTCCGACTTCTGAGGTAAGAGGAACGCAACATTCGGCACAGTGGTGCTCTGGGCTACATGCTAATGCCAGTATGGTCACAGTGACAGTGCTAACATTTAGCAGATAACACATACCATGCTCACCACCTTAGTTCAGTGTTTTACGATGACAATGATTTGTAACGTTAGGCACGTCATTAGTTTTGCAGGTATTTGATCATAAACCAAAGTACTGGAGACATTAGACTGATGGTGGCGCTATTAACGAGTTAAGGGATCAACAATGCAGCTACTACATTTCATGGCAATCCATCCAATCCATTCATTTTCACTCCAAACTACAAATCTGAACCTCTTGCCATGCTAGAAGAAAATTAGAGCCGGCGCAATAAATCGGCGTGCCAATATAATCGGCTGATATGAGCTAACATACCACAAATCCACTGTAAGATACGGAAATCAGCTTTTGTTCTAAGTACTATTTTTAACAATAAAAAAAGCAAATTTTTAAACTGCATTATGTTATCTTGGCGAGGTCTCATAACTACACATAATAAATCTACGACATAATCTTTGTTTAAGTTACGTGATTTAAAAAAAAATAAAATATCGGACGATATTTCGGAATATCGGTATCGCTCTTAAAAATCCCATATCGGTTGGTCGGGCTCTAAAGAAAATTTCTGTATAAACATTTGTGCCAATCCATACAATATCTGTTGAGATTTGGCGCTAGATTCGGGGAACTACCAACGCCATTAAGATATATCCTCTGGGAACAATGTCTACAAACTTTCATGTAACGCAGTCAATGTACAGAAAAACTCCAAAAGCTCTGCCTCTGATTGGAAATCCTGTGTGCCATCACAAAGTGTATGACAATTTAACATTAAATATTTGCAGGTTACAACGTCCCATATATTATCAATATAAATATATTTTGACAGACAAAATCAGCAACTTTAAAAAAAAAAATTAATAAATAAAAAAATTCACAAATGCCCATCAGAGGTTAGTGCGGAAACTTATAATTAACTTATCAATTTAGATAAAATTATCAATAAGTCAACAATAAAAACAAAAAACTAAGTAGCAGAATTTAATAACGTAATGACATTTCTGTATTTGTGTGTATCCAACATGTGTGCGATCATGTGGCTATGCAAATTTGAACATATTTATGGCCTTTAGTTCTGAAAACCTGAACAACCAACAACATAGAGAGCCAATGATTGATATTTTCACAGCTTGCATACATGCTCCTGAGGCGGCCTGTTACCGTGTGTGTAATTGCGAAAATAATGTACCCTGTAAATCTTATAATCCAACATCGTGGGTATTATTTCAAGCCAAGAGAATCCCTGTATTACTTAGACAAATCTGCTCAATCTTTAAAGTCAAATCTTTTGATTTGTTGTATTTTTAGTTCTTCTAATAACCCAGTCCTCCCAGATATATCATTTAAATTTCAGCTTATCAAAAAACTGACAGAGGGCATGTTAAACTTGGTATTCAAAGTAAGAATGACCATTTAAGTATTTTTTTTATAGATCATGCTCCCTCAAATTGTTCCTGTGCTCTTTTCACTTTGCAAGCAGAATGTGCTCTTTGGTTGAAAATGTCAGCGCAGTGCCCTGCTGAGGTTTCCTTCATTTCTCGTCCAACATCTTTTTGATCGCTTCTCTTAACATAACTGCATCTGTTGCATCCCACGTTGTGTTAAATACAGTCCAACACTATTATAGACACTTTGTGAAAGGCCAATTTTCACAGGTTTTGACTACTTCATAACATACAGTTCAGTTTCTCTGACCACTAGAGCTTGTATTTTGTCAGCTGATGCAATCATTTAATTAATTTAGGATTGTGTTGATAGATGGTGGCAAACAACCACAATGCTGTCAACGTTAAAACTTAAATGTCACATTTGTGGACCAAAGATTTATATATTTTATTTTATATTGTATATATTTTAATCAAATAAAGCACATGGTCTGAAGAAAGTTGTGAACTAAGTGCAAGTTCAACTAAGTTGTACCATTTGAGAAAAAGGGTTTAAAAAAAAAAAAGGAGGAAAAATAGGAGCAATTCATCATGAAAACTAAACCAAGTCCATTTGCGGCCCTGCAGGTGGTGAAAAAGCAAATACATGAATGTTGTGAATGTGTGTGCCTGCGTTTTTGAGTGTGTGTTAAGCAGAGTTTTATTGAAAGAATCCATAGTAATTATCAAAACCTCACTCAGGGTTGCAAACTGGCGGACAAACACAGCAATACTCACAGAGTAGTATTTTTTGATATGACGACGGATGTCAAGTAGCAGTTTGTTGCTGATCTTGACAGCGTAGTCGACAGGACGGCCCCCGCAGGGGATGTGACAGCATCGCATCAAGCTGGGCTCCAACGTTAACCCCTGAAACAGAGAATGTGTGTCAGAACAAAAGTACACACACAGTATCATCAGATGTAGCGATCAAGGAAAAACCCTTCCATCTTGTTCCAAATACATGAATACAAAACAGGTGACAGTAATGTTTGTGTACAATCCAACCACACAAATACTGTAGATGTTTTCACACGGCGGCACTGAACACAGTTAAAAGTGCTCTGTACAATACTGCATTCATGTGCAGCTGAATAATCAGCAAAAGATAAATGACCAAATAAAATTTGTGGGTGCCATGAGTTGGCCACCATAACAGTATTGAGACAATGAGCTGTATTACTTTAATAAAAAAATTAAGAATCAATTTTATAAATGAAGAAGTGACATAAACATATTGAAAGTTTTACATGCTTGTTTAGATTCTTAGTGTTGTTTACTAATAAGGTCTCATTTTGGTAACCACACTAAAACTCACAGTTGCAAACTTGTGGGATTGTTCCAGAAGTATTTTTCCGGCTCCTGACTCCCGTTTAAAATGTTTAACATATATATTGTTAATGTTACTAGAAACACACAAATGTAACACAATGAATGACTTGCAGGAGGGACTGAATTAGAAATAGCCACTTTTAAACAAATCTCCCCCTCTCTGCGATGGCTGGCTTCTCAGCCCGCTTTGAGTGTCGACGTTCAGAACAACTATAAATACTTGAGACTTCCAACACGCCATACAAATCACTTCTTTTCTAGTATAACCCAGCCCATTAGCGTCCACTTGCCTTTAGGTAACAGAATATTATGTTCTGTAATTATGTTTTCTTATGGAAATGCACCTTGAGAGTTGTAGTTTACATATCACACAGGTTGCTCCTTTGACATTTTATCAAAGAAGCAGTTATTTTCTTACACAGTTGTTTAACTGCGGACCATCCAGGGCCGTGAGTGTGCTCCAACTGTGAGACACTTGGAGAAAATGAATGAGACATACTTCCTGAACCAGGGCCGCCCGAAATAGCTCCTCCCACTTCTCAAATCTACTGTATTAGCATTGATAGCGATGACCACTGTAACCAGCTCTACAGGGGAAGTTAGGAGTACAATACAATCTTTGGCAAAAGCCCCATATTTTGTCATGTAAATCTAATTTAAATATTTTTAAAAACTTTCACATGATGGAGTCTGGTGCTTTGAGACAGTAGGTGCAATAACTGTCAGGGGAGAAACATTTACTACAAGCTCACTCCCACAAGATTTCATGAAGGCAATAGCCTGTGCAGAAATATTTGTGCACATGGATTCATCACAGAAGCATTTTTAACCCCAAAATCAGAAAAGGTGACAGAAACTTGGCCATTACCTTTAAATCTCCAAAAAGAACATGGCACAAGCGTGGAAGGTGTATGGGCATAAAGCACCCCCGGGTCCAATAAATCTTAACATTTTACTGTTTAAAAAAAAAAAAAAAAAAAAAACCCCACAACAGGTCAACATGACCTCAATACTCCTAAATTGTTTTATATGTAGTTAATGCAATGATGAAAGTAGCCATATTATGTAACGATTACATTAAATCTAACAGCTTTAAACATGAACTCAACAGCAGCAAAACATGTTTCTGCACCGGAGTCCATGACAAGTATGTATGTGACCCCCACCCCCCTCCAGCCACACACATCTTTTTTGTTTCCCTACATCATTCTTTTTTGGAAAAAAACACCAGATTTTCTGCCAGTTCAAGTCAGTCACCTCATTTGACTCCCCTGATGTGCAGCTTACACACATTAACCCTCTCCATCTCAGTCTATCCTCCTCTTCCTTTCCTCTTTCCTCCTGTTTTTTTTCCCTTTCCCCGTCTGCTCTGGATGAAAGCGTCCTCCCCTCCTACTCTTTTTATCTCGCTTGTTTCATTCCAAACTTCATTGTGATAACAGACTTCTCCCTCCCAAACCAGTTGGATCTGTAAAAATTATACAACACTTACTTGCCAGTTATTTTGCGGCCGAGCAATTAACTGAAAATATGAAACACTCCAAAGTAGCTTGTGTCTTGTGTTTGTGCGAGACTTGTGAGAAAAGTTCAAATCGTATCTTTTAACATTCATCGCTCCTCCAACCAACTGTCATCTGTACCACCTCATGTCTACGCTTTAAACAGCCCTCTACAAAACAATTTAAAAAACATTTATGATGTCAAGTGTCCGCCCTAACTGCTTTCATCCATGTCTTGGTCTGATAATGTGCAGCTTTCACAGCATGCTGATTTAACTGCACAATGTGGGATACCCAACGCTCTATTACAACCGAACCCAAGGAAATCCCTGCAGCTCTATCCAGCTTTCCCCCCTCCATAGTTAATCTTTTCATCCCCCTCTGCTGCAAAACCCCCATCAAACAACTTTCCTCCTCTGTCTGTCCTCCATCATCCATCACCGCCTCCTCCTACCATCTCTGGCTCTGTGTCAGTGGCAGAGTCCAAGGCCCATCTGTCCTCCCCTCTCACTGAGCTGTTAGACCATGTTCACCACCCCAATTAACTTCCTGCCTTATCAGTTTCTCTGTGTGCGCGTGCATACTGGACTCTGACGCATGGTGGAAAATTAACACCAGTAATCAGACGAATCCTGTTTAGTTTTGTCTAAAGTTTTAAATTATTCTGACAGCACCAACATTTCAAAACCATATTCTCCTGTTAAAACATCAAGCGCAGCTTCTCGTGTATGTTTCCAGTGCGAGTGTGTATGCCTCTATGTAAAACATACCAGTGTACGCGCTGAAGTGTGTAATGAGATCAACCTTTTATGGTGTGTGTATATAACACTCCTTTTTTATTTACTGCAAGTTCTCTCTGCCAGCGGAGGACAGAGGGTTGTCAGTTTTATTAGTGTCTTTCAGACAAGAAAAAGCTGTGTGCCCTGCTCCTCATTAGATGCTGATAACACAAACACACACGCGCACACACACGACCTTGGACTGACAAATGGTAGGAGATCGGTGTGTGCGTGTGTGTTCATAGAGCAGTAGGGGTTAAGGGAAGGCTTTTCATGTTGTGGAGTCCAAACTATGCCAATGAAAACAGAGTCCGTGTTGGAGCCAGGCAGCTGTCTAAAAATACAGACGGAGACACAATATGGAGGATGACTAAAGCATGAATCCTTCACAGGAAGTTTGACTGAAATGCCTTCGGAAACACCATTCTTCCACTCTCAGACACTTTATCTGTGTGTCCACCAATTAATCCATTACACCAGCGAAAACACACCATTGGTGATAAAAGCAATCTTCTCTTTTTCATTTCAGGGTTTCTTTGTGTCTCTGAAGTTATGCAAGTGTGTGTGCTGCACACAAGAACATCTCTGACTCCACAAACTATTCTTCTGCAGCAGCTTAAGTTACAGAGATTTAATATGTGCTTAGTTGCCAGTTTATTAGGTACAACTACCAAAAAATGGACGCAGTCTAAAACAGCAGTGTTAATAAATGAAGGTTATAATTTGTTCTACAGATTGTTTTTACTGATTCAACTGTACGGTCCTTTTGAAAGATGTAGTTTGTCCACCCCATTTATAGCAATGAAGGCAGGCTAAATAACAGAAACCCTTCTATGTATTTGGATTACACTGCATTAGTTTTAGCTAGTTGTACCTAATGATCATGTGGGGCTGAAGCAACATTTTAGACTTTTCCATGAGTAATCAATGACAGAATATTTGTTAAATCCTGCAGCTGCACGCTTCATGTGAATTCTGTTAATGTGTGAATAAACAACTTTGAAATGTTTTCCACGGCCACAGGAGTCATGTAAAAACACGGCCGAAGCTTAATGAGGGACTTTTGTGATAGCTAACACTGCGTGCATCTACTCACGGCTCCTTCAAAGACACTGTCGTAGATGTTGTCAGTGCCACATTGAGGGCAGGTGAAGGTGAACCTCTCACAGTCTTTGTAGCGCTCCTCGTCAGTCAGCTGGACCGGAGCTCCCAGCATGCCGTCAGCCTCCTCCTCCCTCTGGTACTGCTGCTGAGCCCGAAACTGACTGGGGTCCAGACCTGGCATGGACAAAAGACAATTAACACCGCAAGATTGTTTTCTCCAGTCGCATTAGTCTTTGTTTTGTTTTTTTACACTAACATAACAATAATTACGAGAAATGTTTAACTTGGAAATTTCCAGCCAAACCACTTAATTTTATGGCCATTAGACAACAATGAAACATCTATTTTGTACTTTTATGAGGCTCTTGTGAAGGTAGGTATGACAGCTTTTCTATGTTTGGCTGCCTCAGCTGTCAACAGACTATAAAACAGGAATTGTGACTAATACTAACACATACATAAAGAGGGATTAATACTATCACTCAAAGTAAGCTGTGCCCCTCAAATACCTCATGATAGAGTTTATTTATAAAATAGTACGTCTTTAAACGGCAAACAAGATTTCTGATAAGTCATTTACTGTAATCCCAAGTGTTATGCAAGTTGACTGTTAACAATACAAATTAAAAACATTTCACTCACTTAATTATAATTAATTGCTTTCATTGAACATTTGGCTAATGTGTATAATTTGTCATTTTTAAAGGCAACCTGAAATTCCTCGAGTCATAATTTAACACCAGAATCATGTTGGGCCACCCACTCTTAATAAAACTACCAAAACCTGTCATTCGCTTACCCAGCCACGTGGCTATGAGCACGCTGTCAATGCCCTCGATGGGGTCACATATGCGGGACACAACAGGGTGGATCTGCTGGGCAAGGTAGTAATCGTTGTCCAGACTGAGACCCTCCTGCTTCTGGAGCTGCTCTAGAGCATAGGCTCTCTGACTGGCTGCCAGCGTGGAGCCGTCCTAAGGGAGAAAGAAAAGACACGCGGTTCTGTGACCGGTAGCTTGTTGTCTTTATACTGTAGGTCCATACACTAAAAATCTGTCTTTGGATATTCTTAAATTGGTATATATCAATCTATGTTCAGTGCATGCTGGGATTTTAATCCTGATCAGGTGGTGAAATGTATTTATAAAAACAACTAGTGGGACAGTTCTTTCTCATATACACACACCTTGCAGATGATGTAAGAGACTGTATCTCCAGCTTTAACCCGGTGACCACCCTGGGAGTTCATCCAGAGAGCCACATGGACGTGAGGGAGGCTCTTCTTATCTGGATAGTCCTGAGGATCTTTAGTCAGAGCCTGGAGGAAAGAGTATGACAGCGACAGGAAAGAGAGCGACAATGAACAGACGGTTAACATCAAATACCTTTGAATAATCCAAACATTTGCTTGAACCTGACATAGCTGGTTTGTCTTTACACGCTTTAGTATTCTATTACGTATTTGCAACCAGGTTGTTGATCAGTTTTACACAGTGTACATGTGAAGTGCAGCTGTAAGTGATGACAGAGTGGAAACGTACACACATGCAGCCATGTCCTTACCTTGTGTATCTCATATTGGTTGAGTGGTATAGCTCCTTCTGCTACTTTCTCTCCCACCTCCACCAGGTGTTTCTGGATGTTCTCCACAATGACGTCGCGATTCTGGTCCGACAAGATTTGACCGATCACATAGCTGCAAGAGCAAAAGAAAGCAAAGGCGGGGAAAGAGAGATCAATGTATAGTCGCCTGCAATGTCTGATACACTGGAAAGGGAAAGTAACTGTATGATTGTTAGCATGCTAATACTAACATGGGGGAAAAGATCACAAATCTGTTTGGTTCAACGTACTTGCCACATTCCTTGGCCAGGTCACACCAATCTCTGCGGACGATGTCCAAGCCTTTGAGCTCCTGCTTGACGCTGTATCGTCCTTCACCATGGTTCTCCACCACCAAGGCCGCGTATTTCTTCTTCTTCAGCAGTAAAAGGGACTTAAACACACCGTCAATGTCGATCTCCAGCAGTTTGTAGAGCTTGTTTACTTCTGCCTTCACCTGGGAATAATAAAACACACATGTGCATTTTGTGAAAATGTCAAATATCAAAACAACTGATGGAAAGGAAAATTCAACTTTGCCTCCACACACCTTATTGCCAAGTTTGAAGACTTCCTCCAGAGTCCTGCTGTTGGTGTTGATCATAATGGAGTCAGTATCTCCATAAATGACTTCCAGATTCATCTGAGTCACACATGAGGAAAATGACAGAAGAAGAAAAACTGTTATAGAAGACAAGACAACTTATTAGCTTCAAATGCTTCAAATTAGAGCTGGACAATAAACTAGATGTATTTAAAGCCCCCCTCCAGTGTATTTTGACCTTTCTATGATATTTTTCTGGGTCATTTCCTTACAATGCTGATTACCAACATAGTTCGCCAAATAGCTGAATTTTGTGCTCAAAGCTGAAAAAGTTGCTTAGTTGTTAAAACAGGGTGGAGACATATGACTATAGTAATTCCATAAGTCATACGTCATTCTCCAAGATTGCGCAGGCGCACTGTCATGCCTCGTTAAAAAACTGTCACGCCTCGTTAAGTCAGAGCATCAAACCAATAAACATCGTTTTGAGCTAGCTAACCAATTTATCATGTAGTTTACTTAGAAATTACAGCACGCGTCGCACTTTCACTTTTTAGAGTCTGCAACATGCATTTTACTACCGGCCGTTTTACCAATGCATCGGCGGAGGCAATGGTATCAGAATTCTTTACATAAAGTTCAACAGGGTAAGAGACCCCCCCCACCCCCGCGGTAAAGTAAGCGCACCATAAAACGTAGTGGGAGTTATCGTGTGCAGTGCGTGACAAGACCATCGACTGTATGATTGATAACAGCTGATCTGCGCACATTAGTTTCTATCATGGGTAAGTAACAGCTACTCCTGCCAGACAGTAAAGTGTACTAAACTTTACAGTGTAGTGATGTTAACACAGAATATTGTTAGTGAACACTCGAGCCGGTCAGTTTTTGGTTGTCATGGTAATTGATTACGTCCGACTATTAACCACACCCCCATTCTCTGTTTGAGAAAGAACGTTAACCAAAACCGGCAGTTAAAACTGGCTGGAGGGAGCTTTAATGAATAAAATTACTCTCTCTTACTACACTAAGTGGACCTTCTATCTCAATTGACTGAATCAGATTCATTTAAACTGAAATCATCAATAACAACCAATGACAGATCAATTAGCCCACAGTTCAATGTATCTATATACACTGAACAAGATTATAAATGCAACACTTTTGATTTTGCCCCTTTCATCATGAACTGAACTCAAAGATCTAAGACTTTCTCTATGCACAAAAACTATTTCTCTCAAATATTGTTCACAAATCTGTCAAAATCTGTGTTCGTGAGCACTTCTCCTTTGCAGAGATAATCCATCCACCTCTCAGGTGTGGCATATCAAGATGCTGATCAGACAGCATTGGTATTTCACAAGTGTGCCTTAAGTGCAATTTATACTCAAATCCTGACTTGCACCTCCTCCAAAATGTAACTACACATCGAGTCGACGTGGATTGTACGCTCTGTGATTGGTCGGCTGGGTAGCCTTGCAATGCCTCCGAGCCGACCGGAAATACCCCGCGCTTTGAAGTAACATTCACTAGCGGCCAAAACGGCAATGGTTTATTTACAAATTCCAGAAGCAATTCCTAAACTTATGGGTATATCTCATCCTATCTGTCTCATTCACTTGTCTCTGGCTAGCTAGCTTGCTATAATGGACAACAAAAGACAGATGTTCAATTTTAGCGAGTTGGATTTAACTGACGACAGGTGTGTAATAGCTAAATTCCCATCCTAGAGATAAAACAGGATTTTTCCTAAATGCATTTAAGAAACAAGTTTCAATAATAACAGATTCCATCCTAAACTGAGATAAGATGGGATTTCAGTCTGTAGTAAGGCCCCAGAACATACAATATCAGCAATTTATCCTGATACAGATTTTAGGTCAAATCCTTCAGCTCCACTTCAAATGTATTTGACTAGATCTGTGTTTCATTAACTGATCAGGACAACCAAGAGCTTGTTAATAACCCACCTTCTGAACCATGTCCTTGGTGTGCATCAGAATCTGAAGGAGAAAGCAGACACAACAGTGTGAATACGGACAGACGCAGACAACAGAAAGCATTACAACATGGACAGAATTTAAGCACAGTAAACAAACATACCACTTAGGAACAAACAATGATTAACTTTCTATGTTATTTATTCTGTGTGTATGTGTGGTGTGTGTGCGTGCATTTGTGTGGACATGGGAGCAGAGCAGGTGACTTGCTTTTTAAATGGGGGATAATTGGCTAAGAGGGCAATTATGAGAGCGTGCTGTGACAGGCGTCTTTTCAACCCACACACATCCCCAGCCGGGCAACACACACACACTCCAACACACATGCACACCTTAATGACTCGTAATGGCCTTTATCACCCATAGAGTGAGTGACGGACAAATAAGAGAAGTCTGTTAATGCAGGTTGTCCACTCTGTGTGTGTGTGTATGTGTGTGTGTACGAGGGAGAGATCTGAGCAGCAGAGGGATCCAAACAGGTGGGGGCCCAGAGGAGGGGAGGGCAGGGTGGGGTGGGGGCCTCGGGTGGCTAATCTGGGGGGTCGGAGGGACGGAACGCAGTGTGACCTGTCACCAGCAATCTGCTCCTCAATCAACCACGGCCGCATATATACACACACCGCAACTCACACTGTGCTCCATGTGGGGACAAGGACGTGGCTATTTCAGAGTGTGAGGAAGGGGCGGGGTCGGACGGCAGCAGGATGGGGGGGCCCACTCCCTGAAACCAGAGTGGGACTTAAGCATGCTTTATGGGCTGCTACATACCACTGTACGGCGGGGGGAGTTTGAGTCATTCACCGAACAGCCTCCTCCATTAGGGACTGCAGTCAAGGTCAAGTCTCACCACACACCACACACACACACACACACACACACACACACACACACACACACACACACACACACACACACACACACACACACACACACACACACACACACACACACACACACACACACACACACACACACACACACACACACACACACACACACTTGGCCAAAGCACTAAATTGTGCTGCTAAGCTTTAATGCAGAAAAAATGACTAGCCTGCCTCCTGCTAGTTTAGGAGAGAAATGAAGGGAGGGAGAGAGGAAGATGAAATAAGTCTTAGGACGGAGTATACAGCTAGATAAATCTTCAAAGTTTTAAACTAATTCATTGTTAAGAGATGAGACTAAATGAAACGTAAGGACTGAGTAAAGTACACATGCGCTCATTCAGTTGCACACAAGGTCAAATTTACTGACTCTCTTTTAACACATTGTTGACCAACTGTATTTAAAGCTAACAATGGCTGGAGTCTGAAGTAAAGCAGGAAACATAACACAAGGCCTGCAGATATAGTGGAGTAAAGGCCAGGGTGGGAAAATCAGGGTACTGAACAGGATGTTCTTCTGTCCCTAAAACAAATGCCACTGAGGAATTCTTGAGCAAGGAACAGCTGTCTCTGCACTCAATCGTCTAATGTTTGGTTTAAATTTCTCGTGAAACACATAACAAAGTGTGTTAAAAAGGTGAAATTGTGCACAAAATGGCAGAGCATAATTGAATCATCTAACTAAGGAAGGAAGGAAGGAATCTCTGTCTGGCCTTTGATTTTCTCTTCGCGTTCATCTCATCAACTTCTCACTTTTGGCACTTTTCCATTACCAGTACCAGCTCAACTCGCCTCGCCTTGGCCGTGCTCCGTTTTCCACTGCAGATAGTACCCAGAGATAGTACCCCTCAATGTAGCCGATATAGCAATGCCACACACTGCAGCAACGTAATTTTCAATGCAACACACACCGGCGTTCGATACAGCTTTCCCTTGATTTAAGTTAAAACATTTCAACATTACTTATACTTATATAGAATATAAAGACAGATAAGCGGTATGAAAACCTCACAGCCTCAGCCTGTGTGACGGTGGGGGCAGAGGGCTCTCTGTGAGCGCAGGCTTCCGCCGCCGTCACTTGCGGAGCTCCTCAACTCCGAAGACTTTTAAGCACATTTTTGACTGTCAATATTTGAAATCTACACAGCTGATTTCTCACCTCAAAACTTCTCAGAAGTGGATCTAGTGATGAATTTCCATACAAAAACTGTAAAATATAAAACCATTCTGTTGCTGGCCTCTGTCTGGTGTGCACAGTGATGATGCAGTGAACAGTGACCATTCTCTCTGACCAATCAGCTGTCTGTTGTGTTTTCACGTTACATTTTAGTATCGCCTCAGCTTGCTTGGAACCTCGACGGAGGTGATACAAAAAAAAGGTGTTATAAGGTACAGGTACAACTTTTACACTATGGAAAACCAAACAAAGGTGAGTCGAGTCGAGCTGGTACTATTTCAGTGGAAAAGGGGCTTTTGTGAGGATCCGAGGGAGAGAAGTGCCCAGATGGAGTCTGGAGCTATGACAACTAGCTTTATGTTTCGGGCCTGTAACTTTTGAATTTTTGATTGATTTGATTGATTGATTTTTAATCCTGGATTATGTGAGTCCAGGCAAATCTATTCAGATAAGCCACGCCCTTTTGCATCTGCAACTTTCTGCAATTCTGTTTTGTCACTTCTCCTCCAACACATTTTCAGCAATCGTCACCAAATTTGGTACAAAACATCTCTCATCTCTATAGAAGCGTTATCTAATTATAAAAGGAAGGAACCTCGGTCTAGATGTGTGTATGACATAGGGCAATAAAACAATAATAATTACTGCAATTTAATTTTCCTCAATAATATATCAAATGTTCAAAATGTCATCAATAAATGTTTGATTTAATTCATTTCAATCACGAATGAATTAGTAATTAATTTTTCTATTAAGATGTTTATTTTGAGGAAAAGAGACTGAAAAAAGATTTACTAATCATATTTTTGAGAAAAAGATATAATTGTTTTGAATGTTCTACCTCAGATTTGTGAAGTGATCCACTGTTTGGCATCAAGTGTTTGTCACGTTCTGACCATAAAGAAAGGTTCAACCACACAATTAACCACCTGGTTCCTTCAATTTCCAGTCAAACTTGAAAGAAATAATGATTTGACATTTATTGTGATAATTATCGATAGGTATGAAATGTTTTTATCGTGATTTTATTGTGAACAGTTTTGGCCCAGCCCTATATGACTGTCCATTGCATATCAAGAACTGTTCAAGTGTGAAGTCAAATTGTTGAGAGATTCTTGAAAAAGCTGAAAGCAGCAATACCGGGAGCCAAATACTGGCCAATTTTGGTGAAGCTTTTTCATCTTGTTGGGTATTATTCCAAAGAACCAGAGACATCAGGTACAGGGTCATCAGAAGTGTAACAACCAGGGTACGCTGCAGCTTGAGCAATTCTACCTGCACAAGAAGCACGCAATGTCCTACAAATTGTGCATATGGTAGCTTAAGAACCAGTCCCTTCTGCAAATATTAGTGTTGCTCTGAGCCATTGTTCTGCATTAAAACATTAAAATATGGGTGGGCAAATAAACAGTATCTGTAATAATTTATCACAGTGTTTTATTGTGGCAAAATCTCTTAATGCTATATCAAATCTACATTACATTATCTAACCGTCATCATAGGATATAGGCTCATCAGTAACACTTTTCACAAGGGATAAAAACAGTAAAAGAGAAGCCCTGGTAGAGGAGAGAGACGAGCGGAGTCTGGAATGATCACAGAATAGACGGAAGGACAGGCCAGAGAAGTGATGAATAGAGAGACGTGGGAAAGACGAGCGAAAGCAAAGTGAGGCAAGGCGGGGGGGCTTGGGGAGTCGAGCGAGGTGAGAATGTGTTGATGTAATTGATGTGTGGACTCATTTAGACAGGTTTTCCATATGCTGTCACTTCCAGCAGGACATACTGCTTTGAAGAATGGACCGTGTGAAAGACAAGCCGTTTGACCATGACGCAAAGTGTGCAACTGACAGGGTGGGTGTGTCAGCGCTCATCTTTAAACACATACCAACACACATATACTATATGGACCAATGCAAACATATAGTCCCAGGGGGTAAAAACAGTGTTCATGTGTCTGACCTCTGGTGACTACGCTACTCACCACTGTGCATGCCAATCATACTGGGGCAAACAACTGAAAAAGCTTAACAGAAGACTTTCCTTTAGCAATACAACTGACCAACCAGATTATCCAAAAGGGATTAACGTAGAACAGCTATTAGTCAATTAATTGAGTGACAGGAATTAATCTACACCCAATAATTAACCGATTTATGGTGTAATTAATTTTCCTTTAGCAAATATTCACTATTTCCAGCTTGTCGATTATCAAAACGTTCTTGTTTTCCTGCTCTTCTATGATGTTTGGGTTTTAAAGTGGTAATGGGATAAAACAAGATATTTGAAAACATCACTGTGGGCTCTGGGACGAATTTCGACATACTGTTCAGTGTTCCCCACACACAGACATTACTTGGTCAGGCAGGTATATTAACGGCCGTTCAGGTGTATTTGGTGACCCATTTTAGTATTTTGCAGAGAAACACAGACAGAGAGATGTTATGTGGTGTTGCAAGACACGTACATGGCGAATATTTTAGAAGCACGGACTGGGTAAAGCAACAGTGAACACACCATTACATTTATTAATTTAGCTGACGCTTTGATCCAAAGTCTCTCTCTCTCTCTGATAGGCTATATCATTAGCAATCCTCCTGTACATTCAGCGCACCTGCTGCTGTAAATGGGATTGCGGGTGGAAAAATCCAAAAGTTCTGTGTCTTCTCGGCAACTTTATAAAACATACTGGAGAAAGTCATCAGAGCTGATACATACATGGAGAGACAGACAGAAAGAGGTGGGGCACGCCAGTGTGTTTGCAGTAACAGACCAGAGGTGTAGGCGTGTGTGTGAGGAAACGCAACGTGAGCAGTGGACTGAATTGAATTAAAATGGTGAAATAAAAAAATACTAGAATTTTATATTTTTCCATTCCTGTGAGGTATGGTTCGACATTCTAGTCCAATTTTAATAGTTTGATATCTACAACGAGTCAAGGTC